AACTAAAATCATGGAAGGGTAAAAACCACCCTAATCTTACCATAAATGGCATCGTATTTTTTTTTTTTTTTGAAGGCCTCTCCTGTTTTCTCAATTTTTTTATGGAGACGTGTATTCATTTGTAGCATTTTTGTATCTCTCATGATATTTAAATAAAAAAAAATTATGTACTGATGGTTAGTGACTTTAAAATTTTTAAGAAAACTAAGTTGGCGGTTATAACTAAGGGAGCGTTCAAGTATTACGTAACGCAATTTTTGGAGATTTTTAACCCCCCCTCCCCCCCATGTAACGCGCCGTAACGTTTTTGTGAAGGTAAAAAAAGGTCAAATGGTGACTTAAAATTTTGAGAAAAAAAATCGTTTTAAAAAATGCGTGAGAGAAACTCTCTACGCGACTTTTCTGAAGGGTTAAAAAATAATAATGTTGCGTAACGCGTAGTTCAAACGCTCCTGTAACGCATCGTAACGTTTTACAAAAACCTCCCTCCCCCCCCCCCAAATTCGTTACGTAATACTAACGCAACCTGAACACTGTCGCTTTTAACGTTATTACAAAAAAAAAATATCATCAATAGGCATAGGTTTCAACTGAAAAATAACAATTCCAACAAATGGTTAGAGACTTCAAATTTTCAAGAAAGTGAGCAGTTGTCAACGTTACTAAAAAAAATTGATAATTTTGACAAATATGGCGTAGAACTGTAAAAATTGACGATACTACTCATTTTATGTATTTTTTTGTTTTGCTTCAAAGTTCTTGTGAAGGAGTTATTTCAAACATTTTGTGGATGGTACACATTTAATGAACGAACTGATATGTTGCTAGTACTTGGTTTCTGTAATTGCAACTGTCGTGAGAGTGTTCGGGTATACCATGAAAGATTTCCAAATCGACAGATTCCGAATAACCAGACTTTTGCTTCTATCGAGAGGCGACTTCGAGAAACTGGTCATCTGAAATCAAACAGAAATAATGCTGGACGACCTCGTCAAGCCAGAACTCCTGCTGCAGTGAAGGGAATATTTGAAATAGTTAAAAAAAACGGAATTAGTTGTATTGTTACTTTTCAGTAGTTAGCCATGGCCATTGATGATTTTTTTTATTGTAATTAACGTTAAAATCGACACTGTTCCGAGTTGCGGAAGTTATAACCGCCAACTTAGTTTTCTTGAAAATTTTAAGTCACTAACCATCAGTGCGTAAAAATTTTTTTACTCTAATACCATGAGAGATACATGTGGCCCTCAAAAAAAAATACAATTTTATTTATTTATGTATTTATTTATTTATCCTAACAGGCCTATTGGCCTAATTACAAGGATAATTACTATTAAATAATTACAATATACGTGCTACTACAGTTTACATAATTTTGATAATACCAGAAACACCGTGGGTTTAAATAATTATTACTTCCTTAAATGAACATGTTTGTAATGTGTTCAATAATTTTTTTTTCAAATATTTTGTATTGTGCATACCATTCTATGGGGTCTATTCTGTAAAAATTCCTTTATATTTAACGGCCTTTAAAAATATTGTCGGCCTTTAAACATATGTTCGTATTCGTTAATTTACTTCTGTCATTATTTAAACAGATTTCTTTAAGATAGTCCTCTAATGTATCTTAAAGATCCGTTTAAATAATGACATAAGTAAAGAATAAAATATTTTTAAAGGCCGTTAAATATAAAGGAATTGTTACAGAATAGACCCCAAAATCATCTAAATTATTTATAATATTGGCTAAGCGAAGCATGATCAGGAGGGGAGCTCTGGATGTTATCGTTGCAAAAGGAACAACAAACATATTTGAGTTACGCATTGGACATGATGGAACACAAAATGGTATTAGGGCTAAGAGATCTGAGGAACATATTTGATTATTGATTATTTTATACAAAAATAAGGTACATGTGATTTTGCGTCTAGTCTCAAGAGAAGGTATTTTAAACTCTATTCTTAATTGTGCTGTTCTAATAACATCGTAAACAGGTCTGATATGGTACTTTTTAAAGTAAAGATATCTTAAGAATTTGTTTTGTATTTTTTCTAACTCTTGCATATAACAAGCCATATAACTGAAGCAAAATCTAATTTTGAACGGATTAAAGAAAGCTATAAAATTATTAATAAATTAATATCAGAAAAGGGCTGCGTTTGCTTCATTAAAAATCCCAGAGCACGATTTGCTACTTTACAAGTATTCTCAATATGCATAGAAAATGATAATTTAGAATTGTATGTTATCCCTAGATCCTTAACTTGGAAGCACTTTTTTAATGGCCCACTATTCATTTGATAGTCAAATACAATCGGTTGCTTTTGCTGGGTAATAGTCATATAACAACATTTGTTAATGTTAAATTCCAAATTACATTTTTGACTCCATTCATATACCAATACCAATAAAAACTCCCAGGCCGGATATTTTGGTAAGTAATAGAGATATTTTAATTCTGTAAAAACCAGATCATAGAGCGCTAAGAGAGCTTCAGTTTTAGATATAAATTAATTTTAAATAGGTCAATATGTAGATGGCGCTGCGTTCAATATTTCTTTTTCGATGGGAGGATCTTTCTTATATAGCGCATCTACTAAAAAATGCATTTTAAGCAGAAATTGTTTTATAAAATAATTCGATATATCTAGCCGTTTTTGATATACAGGGTGGGTCACTCAAAACAGTTTCATCCTGTTTTTCGGCATTAGTGGTTGGATTTTTGAAAAATGCTAAAACAGGTCGATTTTTATTCAAAATTGAACATATTTTTACAATATAGACATCTGTCAACCCCCTCCCTTCCATTTCTCCAACCCCTTAATTTTAAATAAGAAATGTACTATGTACGGCACATCATTAAAAAGGTAATGTATAATTATATTGTTGAGAATCTACTTAATAAGTAATTTAAGATGTTTTTAATAATTAGGATAGTTATTTAAAGTACAATACCTACTTTAACAATTTAAAACTTTTTAGTTGAGTTATCAAAACACCTCTTAACTCATTACAATACCAATTAGTTTTTTTATTAAATAGTTAAACAATGAGAATGTAAAAATTGTGAGCTTAAAACAAATAAATGATTAATTCAAGAGAGAAACAAAAATTAATACCAATTTTATAAATAATAAATCAAACCTACACCCTACAATCGATTAATAATCGAATTTAAAACCGTTTCACTCTAATATACCTTAATAAATTTCTAATTGTAATTTTCAAATAAAATAATTAACAAAACAGAAAATATAAATCAAAATATGAATTTATTATAAACAAGTATTTGACTCTCTGCAAAAAACTGTTCCCTCATTCATATAGTATATGGGCTTAGAACAGCGTTAATTAACATCATCGAAATTCTTGATCATTTTTACTGAATCATTTTGTTTGGCAAATATTCTTCCAATAATTGTCCACACATGTTGTAAACCATATTTTTTTGCTTCTTTATATAATTTGTATCGCATACTAGTTAAGTCTTCATTTATAAATATTCGTTTTGTAGCCTTAAAATTTAAATTTTTCTTGAATTCTGTTACAAAATCCACAATTATGATTCTTGTTTTCTCTTTATTATTGATTTTTCCCATTCTATAAACATTATTTATTTTTTACTCTACACATGGAATTTTTAAATGACTGCCGAATAGTTTTGTAATCATGCTTAACAAATCTTCATTATTAGTTTCTTTTACACCATCTAATCGTAAACAATTTTTTCTTATATTTTCTTTGACTTTATCACATATTTTTGTTATTTGTTTTTGCAATAAATCAAAGTTTTTATCAAACTGCTCTTCGATTTTATTCAAAAATTTTTGACATACCTTTCCTGCCACCTCTTCTAACATTGCGTTCGGTCTGCCAAGTTCCTTTAACTCCTTTAACACTTTTTACTCCAAACGACCCTTCGTTCGGTTTGGTCCAATTAGTGACAGTTTAACACGTTTAAATGTCATTTAAAAGCACCCTAAAAAACTCCGCTTTTGTCCCGCTCCAGCCCCTGACTATCCAAACTCACCTTAAGAGCACTTCATCTATCTTACATTGACTTCTAGTGAGCATGACCTATGGACTATCTGGTGTCAATATTTTGTTGAGTTGGATATTGCATTAATTAATAATGAATTATTCAAATTGCGTCTTTATCACTTATATCTAACTGAAACTGCACTCTTCACTTTTAGTAGAAACTATTTTGAAGTATATGATACTGACTTAAACGGAATTTCTTTACAAAATACCATCCAAATTTTAAAATAAGTAGGAGCTCAACAAAATCGTGTCTACACGTACTGAAGGTTCATCGCGTATGATTAGGGTGGCTTTTACCCTTCCATGATTTCAGTTGGTGTAATTTTTGCTTTGAACAATTAAATAGCTACATATCAAATTTTATAAAAATCGAACGAATCGTTTTTGTTATTAAAAAAAATTGAAAATTATCTTTCAACTTTGAACCTTCCTCACAGGTAGTAGCTCTATGTACACGGAATTTTGGGACACCCTGTATTAATTTATTTAAGGTAAAATCGGTAAAATGTTTGGTGAACTTCTAAAACACTTTTTTTATAAAAATACACTTGCAAGGGTGCAAAGATATTAGCTCATGTGACAATTATGGTTGAGATAAATATTTCCCTTATTTTTGGTTTCATTTTGGAACAAAAAGTTTGAATTAAATAGACTTCTGTTTATAGAAATATAATTTAAAAATCTAAAGAAGTATATTATAATGATAGTGTGATAATATTTAAAGGTTTTCCTAAGATTTATTACAGAAAAGATTATAATTAAAATAATTTTTTTGCAACAAATAAACTCTATTTACTTCAATGAAATGTCCCCAATGTCTATCGATCATACACCATTTACTCAACCACCTTACCTAACAAGAATATTTAAATTATTTCAATAAAAAATTAATTCAAAGGATTATATTGAAAAACATTAAAAATAAGCAATATTAAATAATCATTCGACTCACCTCTGGGAAAAAATCTTGTGGAAATTTTGCTTTTTCTTTCGTGACAACAGCCTCAATGTTACCTGAATGTATTTCTTTACCCTTTGCAGGCACAAATATACAATCTTTGAAGTCCCATATTGAAACATTTTCCATTGATTCATGTACAAAATATAAGTTTCCCAACGCCTGAAATATAATTAATTTCTATTTTTAAACGATTTTTGCTATAACTAAGATCCTTATTTATTATATTTTTAAGTATTTTGACTAAAACTATGATTATCATAATTCATTTTTTTTTTTTTTTTTCATTTCAAAAATTAGATTAATAATTATTGAATTGCAATCTCAAAATAACTAGAACCACATATTATAAAAATTAATGGTCTAAGATACAGGCATAAAATAAAACAATTTTTGAAAACAAAAAACAATATTTTTCTCAAGTTTAATGTTTTTTTAATATAATAAGAATTAAGACTAGATCCTTAGGATACACATGTTAACAATCAGGCCATAATTCTGCCCTGTTAAGACAAGAGGTCATATTATCTACAAAATAAATATTTTTAGTAAGTGTATATAATTATGTCCATTTAGACTAGACTTCGCAAAGTAAGATTTCCAGTTTTGACCAACATTTTTATATAAATTGAAATGTTTTCTAATGCAAATAGGTCTTTCTAACTTTGTATCACAATGAAATAAAATGAACGCTTATTAAATAAAGTAAGAATCTCAAAATCAGAATTCATGTAGATACGATCTCTTGTCTGCAGGGCACAATTGTTAAATAATCTTAGTTTTGAGTCTATACGTTTAAAAAACATCTCCATCTTACTGTAAAATTCTCTGCAGAGCTATAGTCTTCATCTAAAAACACTCTAATTTTATCAAATAAGCGTAATTCATTGCTAGACATGAGCAATTTAACAAAATGTTCAACATGTTTCATGCTGAGTTCATAATTTTTTCCTCCAACCTCTTGACAATGCAGTCCAATGAATTTTGGGTCTAGCTTGGAAACAGTTGATAGGAATTCTTCAGTCCATATTTTAAGCATTTCATTTGGCTGTAACAAGAAATTATATATAAATGTATTACCGATATTTACGTCAAAATAAAAATAAGGTAACAAGTGTTTTTCAAACTCAAATCTAACAATGAGAGTATATGATATATATTTTCATCAAGACTTAAGTATATTATGAAATTATGTTTTCAAATTTTTCGATTTTAAAGAAATGAAGGGGCATTCAGTAATTACAAGCAAACATTTATCTATTAACTAATACAGTTTTGACAATGTGTGTTTTCCAGTCTGGGTTTTACCTGATTTAAGAAAGATACATATCGTGAATCTAAAAATACCCAAACGTAAAACAAATACTATTAAATTATAATATTACAAGTAGAAAAAAAATCCACATATTGGTTTTTTTAATTGACTGATTTAAATATTAAATTATTAATATTAATAGACTGTTTAAATTAATTTTGAACATCAAACAAAACATGTACCAATTTAAATTGAATGTAAAATCAACTATATAGTAGTAATGGATTAATGTATATAATTCTTGTTACTAATAATAATTATAAGTCTGTATTGTACCGTTGTTTATAAATAGAGTAATTAACGCTATTTAATTAATTGCTTAAATGGTAGCTATAAACACTGCATAAAAACAAAAATTTTACTTACATCTTCAAATATAGATCCAACATTTGCAGTGACTAGTAAAACAGGTATAGTTGTTGAACCCATAATTCTTACTAAACTATGTAGCAATTAAAAGACTAGTTTGACGATAAAACGATAAAAGTTGTCTACTTAAAAATAACTAGCAATTTGAAACAGAACCAACCATAAACTTTTCTCTTTATAAAAAAACACACCTCATTTTAGGTTATTTTAAATAAAATCAATGTTATTTTTATTTTTGAGATAAATTTTTAATCGTAAACTGAATTGCGCACGCATTTGTGAAACATTTTATTGATTTCTTCTTGGGGTCTTTGTAAAGTCCTTTTTTTCCGTATAAACACATCGTTAAAACCACCTATTTATAGAAATTAATCGAGACTGAGAACAGAGACTTTAATTACATCATTGACCATTTATTTACGTCAATGCTTGCATTTATTTCCGTCAATTAATGTGACATTCTTCCCATTTTAATTAAAGCTAAAAAATGTAAACTTTTATCAATGACGTTCATTTCATTCAGAGTCCAAATTTACCGTTCAAGTTTCAAATTCCTATTTTATAGTCCCTAAAATACTTTTCACTCAACTTGAAATTTAAACAAAATAATACTATTTTAATCAACAATCGCGTTAAGTTCGTTAAGTTGGCAGCGACCAATTTCAATTTTGACACAATGTCGCCGTGACTAGCTTTCCTGAATACGGGTATGCAAATTAGAATATTAGGCATTCCAAACAAAATGGTTGCATGTGGGCATTTATATGGCAACCCTGTGGGCCTGGTGTATTTGACAGGGTCAATGATACAGATAATTATGTAGATTGATAACCAATGTTTTTCAAAATAAACAGAAGCTTACCCAGACAACACACCAAATCCCAGAGATATCCACAGAATATCTTTTGTGGATATCCAATATATCCACAGGATATCAGAAATATTCCGTGGATCTAATATGGATATCCAAATGTCCATCTATATCCAGAATATAGAAGATATCCTATGGATATCCAGCAAAATATCTAATGGGTATCTTCCAGACAATACAAGAAATCCAATATATTCAATATGGATATCTAACCAAATGTCCGTCTATATCCCAGGATATAGAAGAATTCGGATATTTAGCAAAATATTTTATGGGTATCTTTAGTAGAGGTTCATAAGTGTAACCAATGATTATTGAATAACGTCGAAAGAAAATAGCAGAGATAAAAAATATTTTCAACACTCTGCCTTTGATTTTGCCCACTAAGGAGAAAGTCATCCTTTAGGACTCTTCAGCAATAAATGGAAATTCTCGACTCCAGTTTCTAATGGAGTCTGATTGTATACAAATTTCGATCGAACTCAATTACGGCGGGTTGAGCATGAGTAGATGCGAAAGTGGTATCGCCATCTATACTTAGTAAGCAAAATCAAAAATTACATCTAGTGGATATCCACGATGGTTTGCGTTCGCGCCTAGACTTTGATATATTTAGTGGATGTCCATGGGATATTGAATACACCTTAAAAAAATTAATTTTAAATATCTGAACAAGGAATGTTGACAGTGCGATTTTTAACGTTTACTGACATGGGCGTAGAAAAAACGATTTAAAAATTATTCAATGAGACACATAAAAACCAAACCTAAAGCCAGCCACATTTTAATTAAACCTTTATAGTCAGATTTCCAGGTTTCATATGTTTTTTTATAAAATTATTTTGTGGTCGTAGGAAAAATATTGTACATTACTTGTATAAAAGTGATTTTTCACGTTTTGGTAGGGCTTAACCATGGCGGGTTATATTAAAAGTGTTAAATAATGTGCATATCACAAATTTGTGCTTGTATTTGAATATAAAAATAACGAGAGACGGTATCATAGACACGTTCACTTTCATATCAGTGATACCAACATTGATAGCTAAATACAAAAAATAATTTTAAATTTTGTATTATTAAAATTTTTATGTTCATTTTATACTCAATTATAATTTTCTTAATTTGGTATATAATTCGTGCAAACAATTTAAATAAAAATAATGTTTTAGGTTACAAAATAAATTAGGTGTTAAAAAGAAAAAGGAGAAGTGGGAAGTGGGAGAAACACTCAACTCAACACTCCTGATACTTGTCAATTGTCATCACATCTGTCATACTTGACGTTTAAATTAAAAACAAGTATTTATTATTGAAAATAATGAGTGAAAAGTTTGTGATATTTAGTATAAATGGAAAAGATGCAAGTGCTTCGGTAATAAACGATAAAAAAAAACAATAAATCACATTAATTTTCTAATTTTGTAGGCTGCCGTTCTGCCAGAAACTTTCGACGACCTGTTGATAACAGCTTCGGAAAAGTTAAAAGTAAAAGCCCAAAGAGTATTTCTCGATGACGGAACAGAAATTAAAGATATTTCACAAATTCGAGATAAAGATAAACTATATTTTTCAGAAGGGGCAGAGTTTAAACCACCTCCTCCAGCTGTTGATAACAATTCTGAATGGGTCACTTTAAATGTAGGAGGAAAATATTTCACGACTTCTAAACGAACTTTAACCACAAATGAACCAACAAGCATGCTTGCGAGGATGTTTTCAGACGATACAGAGGGATATTTAACACCTAGCAGCATAGATAAAAATGGTGCTTATTTAATAGATCGCACCCCTACATACTTTGAGCCTTTACTCAACTATTTAAGATGTGGTCAATTAGTATATGATAAAAATGTTAATCCTGCAGGAATATTAGAAGAAGCAAAGTTTTTTGGCATAGAATCAGTTATACCTTTATTGGAACAAATTATATCAAAAGAAAGTTCAAATAGGGATATCTTGCCACTGACTCGCAGAGATGTTATTGAGGCCTTAATAAAAAGCCCCTATTCAGCAGAATTGAGATTTCAAGGGGTTAATTTATCAGGTTCGGATTTAAGTAGGCTAGATTTGAGAAATATTAATTTTAAATACGCCAACTTACAAGGCTGTAATTTGATGGGCTCTAATTTAAGTTGGTGCTGCTTGGAGAGAGCTGATTTGTCTTATGCCAATCTGGATACTGCTCAATTATTAGGTACAAACATTTTATTTAAAAAAATTAATACTAAAATACCTATTTTTGATATGTTAAATTGATTACTTTATGATCTGTAATTTTGAAGATTATTTATTGATTGTAAGCCAACTATCTAACTATAATAGTGGAAGAGAACAAGTCTATGTACATGGTATACACTCAAATTATAAAAAAAGGCAAACTAATTATAATTCGCTGACAATATGTGATTTTTTAGAAACTAGTCGAATAGGTAACAAAAATTATGCAAAATTTTAAAAATGTAAAAAAAAATAATTTCATAGGTAAATAATTTGATTTAAAAAAAATTGAAATGGCATAAATGTTCTGGAATAAATGGCATTACAAGTGAACATCTAAAGCTTCTGTGTAAATACGTTTGTCAGTATGGTTTCTATGCCAGAAGAAGCATTATAGGAGTTGCCTACTTACCAAAGTTTATAATTCTCTGATTGTTGGAAATGTTTCCTGTAGAATTTTTAGAAACGAAGTTAGAAATAAATAACTAATCTGGATTAAAACATATATCAGTGGCTACAAACATACATTAATACAATAGTAGTCTGTATATACAATCACAAGCGTTGGATAAATCTAGGGGAGTCCCACAGGGCAGTGTCCTAGGTCCCCTAATTTTTATAATTCACATAAATGACCTTATATGCTTCTGTAATCGGTTCAACTCATTTTGATTTAGTAAAAAGAGTATTGTAGAGCAATAATTAAAGTGAGGTAGAATTATAGTATTATATATAATACATTTAGTTCACTATGCATGATAAGCAAAATGAACTTCTAAATAGGAAATTGAACTTAAATGCAATAATTTTGATAACAGTCTTGGCATGATCTGTGAATCTCATCTGCTTGTGTATTTTAATTTTTCTACTAACTGTATAGAATTTCCTCCAATTGTTATGTTATATTGTTTATCAACAAACTGTGTATAGTTATAGTTGCTACTTATCAGCATACATTTTGTTTTATTTGTATTAATTTTCAACAAATTATTGCAACACCATTTATAAACATGTTGCAGTGTTTCATTAACAACTCTTACCAAGTTATCTGAATCCTTACAAAAAAAATATATTAGGGCATCATCAGCAAACAGGTGAATGTCACATTGACCCTTGAAATCAACAATATCATTGATATACACTAAAAACAACAGGGGACCCAATATACTTCCCTGCAAAACACCTCCCCAGCAAACATTTTGGTGTAATTTGACGTCGATACTACCTACATTATATATAATAAATTTGGTCGCAAAATTAGATTTAACCATAATTAAGTAAAATTTACGTTGGCTCGACGTGGATTCGACATAAATGGAGAATAAGACGACGTCGAAATTTGGTTTTATTTACCAAAATAGGTAGAATTACATCTAAATCCACATTGTAGTAGCCCAATACGTTTGGTTAGTAATACCTCTCTAGGGAAATTTGACGTCAGTATAACGTTAATTCGACGTTGATTTAACTAAGTTTAGGTAGAAACTACCAAAATATTTGCAGATGACGTACGCCTCCAAGTGTACGAAAAGAAATTTTATACTTATTTGGTATTTTTATCTATATATAAGTAGAAATGTAAGAAGTCACCAACACAACTAAAACATATACCTAATTCACATGAAAGATTGAAAATAAATAAATGCCGGTGACAAAAATATATGTAATGTAATTGCGGTGAATATACAGTTCACGCTTGTTGAAATTAATGCGAAGAAAATTTTGTCGTGCATGTTAACAGTTCTACTTAGAAAAATAACAATGCCCTTCCAAAATACTCTCTAATTAAAAAATTATAAGAAAAAAATATGATCGTGTAAAAAAATAATATGAGCTAAAACTATGTTACGTTTGTTGTGTATCACTTTAGAAAATCAATGTTTCGTTTTTCGGTATTTTCATTCGTATGTTTTAGTTATGGTCATTTTAAAAATTTAAAATTTAGAATCGTACTTCAATTACGTTAAGAAAATATGGCGTATTGTGCGAATTCGACCTAAAAGTTATTATGACTAAGGAAATCTACGTATTTTACAAATGCCTTTTTACTAGGTTGAATTAACTTCAATTTCACGACATATTAGTTAACTTTACCTATTTAAAGAAATAATAACTTATAGGTTTTATAAAAAATTTACCTATAGGTAAATATAACATATTTAGGTCACGTTGTTCTGCACTTGAGATTTTAGATGTCTCACTTTACGATAAAAATCGGAAGTATAACGATATGATTTATTATTTTTCGAGACTCATTTTATTAATTATTTTTCGCTCTCATTTAAACCTCTATCTACACCACACGTAAATTAACATTACGACTGTAATGGTTTTTTTTAAATGGCCGAAATTCTTAAGAATAATGACGAAGACAGTAACTGAACAACCTAATTGTTAAAATAACTAAATAATATAAATTTTACAAATAGGTCATGTATGACTCTTTTTAAATTGGTGGTTTTTAGTCGAATTTACTTTGTGGTAGATTTTTCAGGTAATTGCTACAACAAAGTTAATAAATATTTCTTCAAGATGACTTATAGGTCAACTAAATGAGTATTCGACTCTTTGGTTGAAATTAGGTAGATAAACAGGTAGAATTTTGCTACGATCTCGACCTAATAGTACTTTAAAGGAGAGTAAATAAAAGCGGCCAAATAGGTTACTATGGAGGCATAAAATTACGTAGAATTTTTAACCAAATCTACCTAGATGGATATTCTACTATAAAGACGATTTTTAGTTGCCAAACAGGTAGATATTACCTAAATATGGCACCTAATTTTACTACAAAGGAAATTTAACTTTGAAGTAATTGTTGGTTATTTTTTTAGTAGTTTTTCCCTTGCTGATATGGTTAAAGTTACTTTTAAGCAGATTTGTGTAAGAAGGTATATTTCTTGGTATAATTTACGTAAATTTATATATAAATTAAAACCGTTTGGTAAATTAACATTAGAGGTATATTTTTCTAGTCAATTTTACGTAATAATTACCTCAATAAGTAAATTCGTCTTTAACAAAGTCGAGTTATAACTAATGTTATAGAAAATGTTTGCTGGGCTGATATAGTTAATTTCCTTTGACAAAATGTTATTTACTTTTAACTTTTGTTTCCTCTTACTTAGATAATCCACACACCACTCCAATACTTGCTTTACTATATCCATACTTTCAATTTTTTTATCAAACGGTTTTGATCAACAGTCTCGAATGCCCTTTGAAGATCTGTAAAAACTGTCAATGTTAGATAGTTTTTATCAAATTTATATGTCCAATCATATAAAGCACACTGGATAGCTGATTCACAGTTATGTTTGCGTCTGAAGCCTGATTGTATTCTAGTAATAAGTTTATTTTGTTCTAAAAAATTAATAATTTGTTCATAAACGACCTTCTCAATGATTTTTTGGATACAACTTAACATACTATTAGGCCTTAAATCTGTAGCTTTATTTGCGTTTTTTGTCTTTGGAACAGGCACTACCATAGCAATTTTAGAGCATTAGATATTTTTGAAATTTCTAATGACGAATTTATAGAATGATGAATGCCTTGGAATCTAACTCGACGAATCATTTAATTTTTCTTTTCACCTAAACTCTTTTTAAGGAGTTAAATAAAACATGCTATGGATTAAGAATCCTCCCCAAAAATGGTACTAGTAATATTGTTTTGTAGTTTTGGACCCAATTTGACATAAATCCCTTAATACCAAAATGTCTTAGCAGCCCATGACCTTATGAAAATGTTCTAAAACTTTTTTTCTTAAAGTTTTTTTATACATTTTTAAAACTTACAAGTCAAGACCATTAAAAAAGCTTTAAAACATACTCTTGTTCTACTACGAAAAAATGAACAGTTTCTAAGAAAAACGCTGTTTAATGAATGACACATTTTCAATTTTAATTATCTAAAGGTACCCTGGAACTAATTGAAGTTAAAAAAAGTTTACTTGAAACATACTTGAAATTAATTTTGACAGATACTGGGGTCTATTCTGTAACAATTCCTTTATATTTAACGGCCTTTAAAAATATTTTCTTCTTTACTTCTGTCATTATTTAAACGGATCTTTAAAATACATTAGAGGACTATCTTAAAGAAATCTGTTTAAATAATGACAGAAGTAAATTAACGAATACAAACATATTTTTAAAGGTCGCCAATATTTTTAAAAGCCGTTAAATATAAAGGAATTGTTACAGAATAGACCCCACTTTCTGTCCTTTTTTTTAGTTTTGTAATACCTACCTACTTGTAAAAATTATAATGAAATTTACACCTTATATTGAATACGCTTCTGCTGTATGGAATCCTTTGTATGTATATCTAATCCATATTATAGAACAGGTTCAAAGAAAATTTTTACGCGTTGTTACATTTAAATCGGGTATCGTCCCGGTCAACTTCAGATACAATTATGACGAATTACACACACTTTGTCATCTTTAGACCGTTCTGAGCAGAAGAAACCAAAGGGATCTTGAAATATTATTTAACATTATTAACTCATCTGCCGATTATCCCTACTTTTTATCCCAAATTTGATTTTCTGTATCCTTTAGAGTAAACTAGGAATATTAATACATTCTCCCAACCTTTCCATAAAACAAATTATGGTTCTCATTCTATTTATTAGCAATCAACTAAAATTTTAAATAATTTAACATCTTACAATAACTGTTCAAAATGATGCCCCCCTACTTCACAGCATAGGTTAGTTCTCAAAAAGTTCCATCGAACTCTAGCGAATATTCCTTTTTTTGGGGGAATTGCCTCACAAATTATTAACTATTTTTTGCCTGAGCTTTTCAAAATTATTCACTAAAGTCTTGTATACAAGGAAAAAATCCATTGGGTTTAAACCATGCGATCTGGGAGTACATGGCACAAATCCACGGCGCCCTATCCATCTGTCAGGAAAACATTCATCAATGAATTCTTTCGCCGCTGAAGTAAAATGTGGTGGAGCCGCCGCCTTAAAGCAACCACATTGTCTAATTTGGAGAGGTACATCTTCTAATAAAATAGGGAAACGATTTCTTAAAAAAATCTGTGCGAGGAGTATAATTAAGGAAGAAAATTATTTATAATCTTTAAAATTACAGATTTCATATAGTAACAGTCAAATAAATCATATTGAACATTAAAATAAATAAATTTGAAAAAAAAAGAAATGATACAGCTTCACCTGCAAAATATTTTCTTTCAGGTGTAAAATCCCTGTGTGCAAATTTCAACGGAGTCACAATGAAAAATTGCAATTTTAAGGATCCAGCCGGTAGCAGAGCAAATATGGAAGGGGTAAACCTCAGGGGCGCAATTCTAGAGGGCAGCGACATGGGAGGAGTTAACTTAAGAGTGGCTACCTTGAAGAACGCCAATTTGAAAAATTGTGATCTGAGAGCCGCTGTATTAGCTGGTGCTGATTTAGAGGTAAAAACATGAGACATTCAATTCAACCAAAAATAGCTATGTGAATTTAAGTTCTATAATTTCTTTTATTTTTTCAGAACTGTGATTTGTCTGGAAGCGACCTGCATGAGGCTAACTTAAGAGGCGCAAATCTAAAAGATGCTGCATTTGAATTGATGTTAACACCCCTACACATGTCTCAAACCATACGGTAGTTGGAGTTTCTGAGAAATCGATTGAGATCGCGCGATTCCAATTTTCTCGCGGAACTTGATCGATTTCACGGATTTCAGGAGTTTTCCAGTTAGTTTTTTAAATATTTATATTTAAATTTTTATATATGTTCCTATTTCCGAAAATTCCTTGTACCAAACTTCGCACCAAATTTTCATATGTTAGTTTTAAATGTTTAATTGGACCTCATGTACTGTTAAATTGGTTTATAAAGCATACATTACATTACAATGTAAGGGTGTGTACATGCCGAAGATGCCTCAATGAGTGATGATCGATGACCGATAGGCGATGTAATAACAAATGTACTAATTTAAATGAGAGTGTACATACCAAAGATTAGCTCACCATACATTTGTATTACATCGATTGACATCCACGTAAACATCGCCTATTTGCCATCGATCATCGATGCATCTTCGGCATGTACAGATCCTAAGAATTTTATTGTCAGATCAATTTATTGTGGTAGATAACTAGTCAGGTAAATTCCAATCAGTATTTATTGTGAATTTATTGAAATTAAGAATTAAGAAATTATTTTAAAAACTAATTGTTAGACTCTAGTATTTGCAAAGACTGTAATAAGTTAAATCAGATGTTGAATTAGAAATCAAACATCACACATATCTATTTACATTTAAAGTTATTAAAAATATTGTATTTATTAAAAATAACAGCAATATATGCCTTTATTGAATTTAAAAAAGCTTTTGATTGGGTGCCACTAAGAACAAGATATGGGAAGTATACAAAGAAGAGGCATATATAGAAACATTTATTCCTTTTATATGCTTGTTAGTGATACATGTAATTGATCACATTTTTTGTGGTTACAGTATTATGTAAATACATTTTTTAAATTATTGTAGTTTACGCCTTATGCATAATGTAATTTTATTTATTATTAGATGCATTTTTATTGTAATGTAATTTTAGCAATAAATATATATTAATTTAATTTTTCGTTTTAATTAAAACAATATATAATAAAACAAATCTGATGTGTCCAACTCCCCAATAAACACAGTTTATCGGCAATGTAACTGGGCCGAAGGAGGCTTGCTAATGCCGGACTCTGTCCGATATACAGTGAGGCTTCGGCATATAGGTAGAGCATGTCCGCCACATACTTTGATTTTCTTTACTATACGGCGCAAGAGAGAGGTCCGACACGCCCAACATAGGGCCCGGCCATTTTGAACCCTATGCAACAGTTTATAGCTAAAGAATCAGATCGCTCACTCTGCGTCGGCACTTTTGATCTCAATGTTCCAGTTTATACACTGCGCAACTCGGATAATACAATATATAACAACCGCCTATAATAAAACAGCTGTCTTCTGCGTATCCTAAATTTGTATCCCTGGAGTGGATCTTATTTTGAAACTTTCAACTGGTCCGAGTGAGCTAACTGATTCTTTAGCAATAATCTGTGACTCAAAAAATAATATGCACTGACACTGACAGCCGCAAGCAAAATATCAGGTGCGTTTTAATCATCCGCTTCTGCTTCTGGAATTGTCGGTTTAGTCGTTTTAACTTGTCAAAGTTTTCTATCCTTTTAAAAGGCACTCAGAAAGCTGCGCAGTGCGACCATTCTCCGTATAGTAAAAGAAAATCAAAGTATGTGATGTCCGCCCAGCCGAATGTCGGCAGCCCACTAAATTGTAGCCGCGTTTTTATATCTGTATATAATTCGGCCCATAAGGATGCCTCCCATGCCCGGCTAGCCAAATATGGACCATATGCTATTTCTACTTCTAAGTTACGTCAAATGGTACAGTCCTCCCGGCTCAGAAGAAACGGCAATCCGAGTATTCGGCTTCCCGTACAAGCCGGTGTCAAGCCGAGCGAATGCCAACTATTTGTGGTTTACTGGTCATGACTTTCCTGTCTAGTTATTACAGGTTTTTGCTGGTTATTTTGTACAACCTATTGTATTACCCCTGTAAATGTTTAGAGCATAAACTAAATACATACATCTTACTCGAAACTTTTTTTGCATACAGTGTGTCCCATTAGTGTGTAATTGTTCAATATTTCAATTTGTGTTATAGACACGCAAATAAGTTTTGAGTAAAAGTTATATGGATTTGAAAAATACATGTGTTAAAAATATTTTTGCGTTTTTGCCTGGCAAATAACAATGACTATTTTTTAAATAGAACATCCTGTATTTAAGTTCAGTTTTAGAATGGTTTGATAATACTATGTTCAACCCTAGAATATTTAAAAAAAAACATTATAGACCCCAAATTAAATTATCATGATTTATGTAGGTTTACAATGAAATCAAGTGTTTAAAATTAGTATATTATGCAACGATCATGTATTAATAGCCATTACATAAGAGTTGCATACACTATTTTTTCTACGACCAAGAATATTTATTATGAAATTGACCTTAAAATCTTTGACGTTTTGAAATTTTAAATCATGCAGTTCATGTCTTCTGCATGCTCCCATAATTCCAAAAATTAAAGCTACCTGCAAAAAAAACAATTTTATTCAAAAAAATAAATGAAAGACAATATTCATCATTTTTGTGCTTGTTTAGTTTTAATTGAATAAATAAAAAAAAAAAAAAATGCACTGAGCGGGTCTCGAACCCGGCATGTACAGATTGAAAACAATCTTTGTCAGCGCTGTTACACACTGAGCTACGCGCCTGCATTGACAAATTATCAACATAAAGCATAATATATACCCCAGCAAACATTTTGGTGTAATTTGACGTCGATACTACCTAAATTATATATAATAAATTTGGTCGCAAAATTAGATTTAACCATAATAAAGTAAAATTTACGTTGGCTCGACGTGGATTCGACATAAGTGGAGAATAAGACGACGTCGAAATTTGGTTTTATTTACCAAAATAGGTAGAATTACATCTAAATCCACATTGTAGTAGCCCAGTACGTTTGGTTAGTAATACCTCTCTAGGGAAATTTGACGTCAGTATAACGTTAATTCGACGTTGATTTAACTAAGTTTAGGTAGAAGCTACCAAAATATTTGCAGATGACGTATGCCTCCAAGTGTACGAAAAGAAATTTTATACTTATTTGGTATTTTTATCTATATATAAGTAGAAATATTGTAAGAAGTCACCAACACAACTAAAACATATACCTAATTCACATGAAAGATTGAAAATAAATAAATGTCGGTGACAAAAATATATATAATTGCGGTGAATATACAGTTCACGCTTGTTGAAATTAATGCGAAGAAAATTTTGTCGTGTATGTTAACAGTTCTACTTAGAAAAATAACAATGCCCTTCCAAAATACTCTCTAATTAAATAAAATATAAGAAAAAAATATGATCGTGTAAAAAATAATAATATTATTATGAGCTAAAACTATGTTACGTCTGTTGTGTTTCACTTTAGAAAATCAATAATGTTTCGTTTTTCGGTATTTTCATTCGTATGTTTTAGTTATGGTCATTTTAAAAATGTAAAATTTGGAATCTACTTCAATTATGTTAAGAAAATATGGCGTATTGTGCGAATTCGACCTTAAAGTTATTATGACTAAGGAAATCTACGTATTTTACAAATACCTTTTTACTAAGTTGAATTAACTTCAATTTCACGACATATTAGTTAACTTTACCTATTTAAAGAAATAATAACTTATAAGTTTTATAAAAAATTTACCTATAGGTAAATATAACATATTTAGGTCCCGTTGTTCTACACTTGAGAATTTAGATGTTTCACTTTACGATAAAAATCGGAAGTATAACGATATGATTGATTATTTTTCGAACTCATTTTATTAATTATTTTTCGCACTCATTTAAAGCTCTATCTACACCACACGTAAATTAAGATTACGACTGTAATGGTTTTTTTTTCAAAATAGCCGAAATTCTTAAGAATAATGACGAAGACAGTAACTGAACAACCTAATTGTTAAAATAACCTAAATAATATAAATTTTACAAATAGGTCATGTATGACTCTTTTTAAATTGGTGGTTTTTAGTCGAATTTACTTTGTGGTAGATTTTTCAGGTAATTGGTACAACAAAGTTAATAAATATTTCTTCAAGATGACATAGGTCAACTAAATGAGTATTCGACTATTTGGTTGAAATTAGGTAGATAAACAGGTAGAATTTTGCTACGATCTCGACCTAACATTACTTTAAAGGAGAGTAAATAAAAGCGGCCAAATAGGTTACTATGGAGGCATAAAATTACGTAGAATTTTTAACCAAATCTACCTAGTAGGATATTCTACTTTAAAGACGATTTTTAGTTGCCAAACAGGTAGATGCTACCTAATTATGATACCTAATTTTACTTTAAAGGAAATTTATCTTTGAGGTAATTTTTGGTTATTTTTTTTAGTAGTTTTTCCCTTTCGGATTTGGTTAAAGTTACTTTTAAGCAGTTATGTATACGAGGTAGATTTCTTGGTATAATTTACGTAAATTTAAATATAAATTAAAACCGTTTGGTAAATTTACATTAGAGGTATATTTTTCTAGTCAATTTTACGTAATAATTACCTCAATAAGTAAATTCGTCTTTAACAAAGTCGAGTTATAACTAATGTTATAGAAAATGTTTGCTGGGACGTATGTTACTGCTATGCAAAATAAGTAATAAATTGTAAAAAATATGTATTTACCTTAGTCATTAGGTATTTTTGGTCTGGTGTTTCATCAATAATTTTTTTGATTTCTTCTGGCAAAAAGGTTTTTGATTTTTTCCGCTATATTCTTCGGATTTTCTTTTTAAAAATGCTTGAAATTTTGGATATTTGCTAATATCAGTTTCATGTTTAATATTGAGTTGGGTTTTTAAAATAGAATAATGTGTCCAGAGAGATGAGGATTTTAATTTAAGTGAGAGTTCTTCAAAGTATACTAGCAACACATTTTCAGAAAAGGATGATACTGTTCTTGCTACATTCCAATCCATAAATTGACTATAAATTTTATCATATACCTTTTTTGATTTAGCCTATATATACAACAGCAAATGATGAAGTCGATTTAAATTATTTGACAATTTTAAAACCATCAAGTATGTATAAATACCTACAGGGTGTTTTGTTAAAAAAAGTATAGATTTGGTCAGCCCCTCGTTTATGGACCACCTTGCATATTTAAGAATAATTGTTAAATATGGTCATACAACTTTAATTTTTTTTTTCGTATCAACAATTTTTAAACAGTTATCCATCAATTACGCAATGATGGGACACACTGTATATGTGTTATTGGCTAACATGTTGATATTGTTGGATAGGTAAATTTTTAGGGATTTTTATCCCAAAATAATATGCAGGTTGTTGCATTTGAAAAATTGAGTAAATTTAACTTAACATTAGCCATATTGAAAAAAATGTTTTAAAACACTCTGAATAAAGTAAACCAGTTCCATCACAACTATTCGTTAGCTTAGTATCTATTTTAAGTCTCTATTTTAAACGATTTTATAATCAATGTAAACCTACATTTAATTTGAGGTCTGCATCATTCTCTAATTAGGTACATAAAAAAATTGCTTGGCAATCCTGTAATATTTGTTAAAAACATTCTAGGTTAAATACAGTATTACCAAACCATTCTAAAACTAAAATAAAATACAGGATGTTTAAAAATACACATTATTATTTGCCAGGCAAAACACAATACTCTGTATATTCAAAAATATTTTTAAAATATTTATTTTTCAAATCCACATAACATTTATTTGAAACTTTGCGTGCCTAATACACAAATTGAAATATTGAACAATTACGCACTAATGACACACCCTGTATTATCATTGCCAACGAAAATAATGAATATTTAAAATTTTACATTTTCCTCAAATTTTTCTATTACGGTCCATTTTAGAGAAATTATGCATGGAACAAAAATTATAGAGATCAATGTCGCAAATAACTTTTAGTTGCATAATTTTCTTTAAAATTCGAATTTTGCACTTTTTATCAAATTTCTGGAATACGGACCATTTTAAGAAAATTATGTATATGACAAAAATTATAGAGAATATAAATAACAGTTATATTCCATAAAGTAGAATAACGACCCCCTATAAAGAACCACCCTGTTGTTCCAACTATGCCCAAAATCTAATCCACTCACCGCAGGCAGGAGTAAAGCTCGAGTTTAAAATTTGGTGTTTTTCTTCTGTATCCGTTCATGAGTTATCGAGTTTTCAGACACACACAGACATCATCGCGAGAAAATAGTCAAAACAGATTCAGAAGACCCCAAAACGTTAAAATCCCGTGGAAACCCGAGGCCGAAAAAAATCATGATTCCTTACTTTCCTTATCTATACAGGGTGTTATTGAAATACACGTACATATTAAAATGGGGAATAGTATGTAATGACCAAAAACGATTGGCACCAATTTTAACTTCAAATTCTAAAATTTAAATATTGGGGAAGAGTCCCCTTTTCCGACCTACTAGTTTCCATATTTAAAGAAGTAAAATAAATCGAAATTGAACTTACCCATAGAAATTGCACTGTTGCCGTAGCAAAACCAATTAATTTAAAATAAAGTTTATTACAGTAATTGTTCAAAATGCCGTCCATTATTATTTACACACACTTGCAATCGTCTTTCCAAAGAACTTTGAACATTAGAAATTAGTCTTGGATTTTGTCGTAGTTCCTCGGCTACCGCATTAACTTTATTGGTTAATTGTTCAACACTATTAATAGGTTCATTATAAACCAGTTGTTTCATGTGACCCCACAAAAATAAATCGCATGGATTTAAGTCCGGAGATCTCGGAGGCCACTTAGTAGGTCCATTTCTGCCTATCCACTTTTGAGGAAATCTAATGTTCAAAAACTGCCGTACGTTTAAATCAAAGTGAGGAGGAGCGCCATCTAGTAGGTACCACATCCGTTGCCTTAATTGTAACGGTATCTCTTCTAGGAGTACTGGCAAAAATCTTCTAAAAAGTGGAGATATCCTGGCCCATTTAATCTGTTCGGGAGAACATAAGGCCCGATTAAATACTGATCTATTATGCCAGCCCAAACATTTATTGAAAATTTTCTTTGATGCCCGTTTCCCTAATGGCGTGAGGATTTTCATCACTCCAAATATGCGTATTGTGCATATTGAACACGCCATCACGAGTGAATGAAGCCTCGTCAGTATACAATAATATTTTTAGAAAATCAGGAATATCAACACATTTTTGAATCATCCATTCACATAACTCCACTCTCTTTTCTTCATCACCTGGATATAAGGCCTGGACTTTTTGGATGTGATAAGGATGTAAACCTTGTTCTTTAAGTGTCCGCCACACAACAAATGAGGACACTCCAATTTCAAGACCTAGTCTTCTACAACTTAATTGAGGCCGGTTTTCAACAGCTTCCAATATTTCTTCTTCGGCCGCCAATGTTCTTTGTGTTCTTGTTCTCCCTCGATCTGCATTGACACTCTCAAATTTTCCATGGTCTCTTAGATGCTGAACAGTTGAAATAAACGTACGACAGTCCGGAATTCTCCGATTTGGAAACCGTTCGCGATACAGAATTTTCTCCAGCTGCCCCATAAACCAGCACTATATCCGTTAGTTCAATATTCGTAAATAGTGGCATCGTAAAAAAATATTTAAAAGTAATCGTAACAACACTTTTTACCAACTTGGAAATGACGCGCTCGTGTTAGCCAGATTCGTAAATCAACTAAAATTTTAATAATCTATAGTTTCAAAAATGTATAGTTTAAAAACAATCATTTATCAAATATTCTAGTTTTTTGATAACGAGGGTAGTAAAAACCAGTCTTCGGAAATAGAAATTAATTCGAAAATCTTGGCAACATGGTTATTTCTTACAAGACTAGTTTTCTTATCATCTGACAAAAACTTGCATATTAATTACTGTTGATGTTTAAAATAGGTAAATAAACCTAATTTATATAGGTCATCCTCAACATATCAGTGAAGTACGTTTGTTTTAGAATTAATTTTCAAAAATTAATAACTCCCTTAATAAGGGGTATTTTTAAAAAATAACATTTTTCTATATTCAGTGGGGATCTGCGCAATACCCAGTTTTAATATGTACGTGTATTTCAATAACACCCTGTATACAGACAGAAAAGTAAAAAACTCATTCACTCTCTATAATTTTCATCTGATTACCTCTAAAACATTCCTAATTATGCAATTAGTAATTACTAATTTGAAGGACGCAAAAATATAATCTTTCAGATTGATTTGAATTAATAGGTTGAAAACAAACTGAAAAGTAGATCATCAAATTTGTTTAGCAGATGAAATCAAAATTACAAAAGCGTATTATTCTATTAAATTAGACTTTACGCGATATGACATTCTTAATTGTTTACATTATAACCCTATAATATTTTCCAAAGGTCATCTGATATTATGTCATCCTCTAGAAAACAAAAAATTTATTTCACACATGTGCAATTAATAAACATTGGCGTACTGTATTTTCAAGGGGTTAATTTAGAACCTAAACAAAAATAAATATTTAGAATAACCACAATTATAAGATTTAATCCTTTATAAAACCGTCATCATTATCTTGTCATTTTCCTTTATACCGTTATTTATCAATATTCACTTATTCATTTGCAATAGATCTGTTCCGTTTTGGCATGTTTAACTCTTACTTCAACATGAAATGATATGTTCATTTATTGTCTAAAAATCATATTCACTTTTTCATCCATACAAATTGTGTTTCAATTTGTGACCCCACGCTATAAAACTGAAATTCTAATACGTACACTCAGATATTGCACATAATACTATAGGAATGTTCTTAACGCAGATTTTAGATGTCCAGGATATTTATTTTGCGGATCCGATCAAATTATAGTGAGACAACTTAGCGCTGGGTCAAAACAGAGCAAGACAAATTAGCGCGTGACAAAATATCCAGTAATTCAATTAAAAAAAACAACTGATTTTTTAATCTGTGCATTCTGGAGTCATCGCAGATAGCTGTATATTCCTCTAGGCCGCACAGGTTAGGTAAGTTTTTTTGTTAGAATACTGAAATATTTTGCTCTGATCGTCCCGCACATATTCACTCGTCACATAAAATAAGGCATTTCGTAACTGGTCGCATAAATACCTATTACTTATATTTTAGAATGTCTATAATAATTTCTATGAAATGTAGTTGAGATACTTGCATTTTTTTACAGTTCTGCAGCTCTATAGCACTTATGCACCAGCCGCCACTATTCTACATGGACGTTTTTAGTACAGGGTTAAAAACTGTATACGTTTATGACATCTAGGGGGTTCCATTTGACCGAAAAAAGATGTCCATTGTCCCTTGAAAGTTCAAATTATCATACTGTTCAATTATGAGCAAGCAAAGTTTAAAACTGAAAATGAAAGTCTACGTGAAAACCATTAATAACCTGAAAATCGCTGTTTTTGGACTTGGTTCTGAGGTACACAGTTATTGCTGTTATTATTGAACTTTTTAGGTCGTCTGGAACTGAATTAGTTTCTAACGAGGGATTTATTATATTTATCAATGGATTAGCAATATTTTCGAAATATTTTTTTAAAAAGAGTACACTAATTTGAAAATTTAAAAAATTTAAAAAGGTAATGTTATATTGTATCAAATCCAGCCAAACTGACAGCGATACTCTATTGCTGCGGAATACCCTATCAGAAAGTGTGGTTACAAGCAATGCTGGACTTATTTCAACAAAGAGAGGTAGCTCCAGTTCTAAAAATACTTTTGGAGTCAACAAAATGTTAAACCGACACATGATTTGGATGTTCAAGGATAATTAACTTAGTCCAGTATGTACCATTGAACTTTAATGGATATATTGGACATCGACTAACCCTATATAAAGTAAATATCAACTTGCAATAAAACTTTGAAGTCGGAAATTTTATTTAATAGAAAAGTATTTACTTTACGCACGTTTGTGTCACTTTGCCGATACGTCTGTCACTTTTTCGTTGTAGCTTGATTTTTGTCATACAATTTTCGAATGTCAATTGATTCACAAAAGCGTGTATTTTGAATAGTGTTCGTAGAAAAATTGAACAGACCTAGTAAAGTTTTAACTTTTTTCCAATTACTACGCCCATGGTTTATTCAAATACCTAATCTGGATCTTGACATACATTTTTATCCAGAAATCAGTCCCATTTTCTACATCATCAAACGAAGATGATAAACCACAGACGCAGTCTAGTTTGTTTTGTAATTGTATCTACATTTATAATTTTGGTTTTATGCGATGAAACTCCGGAAGAGATTAAGAGACAGCGTGCTTTTTTAATAAGAAAACATTTAAAGCGATTGAAAAAACAAGAGGGAGGTATAAAGTTGGTAGGTGGTAGAGGCGAATTTGAAGGTAAGAACAATGAATTATTAATTATTGGTAGTGAATGTTTGCTGTATTAATTTATTTTTTAAAAATCTGAAACATTACATTGCACAATTAGCAAGAATATACATTATTTGTAATATCACTTCTCAACTCAATAAATTTATATTTTAAACATGCTTCTGTAATTTGTTTATTGAAAGTGATTAACATTTTTGAAGTAGAGCTTTTATCAAACGAATATTATGTAATTAACGTTTATATTTTGTTTTATATTATTTATAATTTAAATTGAACATTTATGCATGATACCTACATAAGTAACTACAGAAAAAAAATAAACGACATACGATATAGAATTTTAAATTACGAGTGTGGAAAGTGACATTTTTCACACGTTGACTGCCGAAGCGAATTTCGTGGTCGGGTACGCTGAACAGAAGTAGGTTTTTTTTAATAAGTTTGTTTTTACGTTTTAAGATTAAAGTAATAATTATGTAAACTACAATATCTAAGAGAAGCGCGAATCAAATATATGCACGAAGCGGGATTAAACGCAGGTATAATAAAAGACGGCCCAGTAGTCAATAACTTAATTTTATATTATTACATTATATATCTGTGCCAATCTATGTAGAAAATACTTTTGTTGGTAGATACATCTGTTTTTGTTGGTAGAAAAACCTTTTTTGTTGTCTCAATAATTTTTTATAAAAAATAAAGACATTTTTACTCATGCCTTTTACAAGGCAAAATGATTGTAGTACATTTATTTTCCTTTATTTATTTGTTTAGTTAGTCATTTATAGGAAAAAAATACTTTATCAACGGAAATAATATATATACACATGGCAATCAGCGTGTTAACTCAAAAATAAGGTTCCTAATAAAGGTCAAATAACATTCAGTCGAACAAAGCTAAGTCACGCAATCTAATAATAATTACTTGCATATCAAACAGTGTTGCCAGGTCATTCGGATCCAAATTACATCAAAATACAATAAAGTTACGTCCTTTTCCTGCATTTCATCTACTTTAAAATGAAATTACTCCGAAATATCGATGTCTTGAGGAGTGAATCAAATTATTGAAAGAATTGTGAAATTACATTACAGTAGTATAGAACACCAAGATAATTGTATACAACGATAAATATGGTACATCTGGCAATATGGCAATACTTGTATCATACATAGGGAAAATAAATCGGTAACTGGAACGATGCGAGACAAATATATGAAAAGCACAAAACAGTAAATAACAGCATACTGCTATACCTATCACCGATTCAAAAATAGGTACCTCTGAACAATCATTCACCTACTAAAAAAAATCTCTAAAACAGTGTGGCAACATTGTTTTTATATGGTAATCTCCCCGTGACATCTACTTAAAAATGGATGTCCTAGACAATTATAGGTATTCATAGAAAATATCTACTTTGACAAATGTATTTCTCAAATATTTCTTAATCGTAATTCCGATTAGATTTGAAAAATACCCAATAAAATTTAGACATATTTTCGCGGTGTAAAGCCAAAATAATAGTTGTACGAGCTGGTTCATTCATAAAACGTGTACTAGCATCTTAGATAAGCAAGCTCGCACAAACCATCCCCACGACAGCCAACATAAAACAATCCGAATACTTGCAACAAATAAGGGATTAATTATGAATAATAAATGGATCAGTCTAGTAGTTTTTCGTCAATAATATGAACAATATTTTTAATTTTGTTACAATGGCAATATGAGAAGTAAAATTATTAAAAGATGTAGTAAGAGGAGTATTATCAATAATAATAATAAGTATTAGAAATTAAAAATTAAAAAAAACCGACTTCAATAACGTGCAGATGCCATCACCACATCTTAACCAAATTTATATGGGATCACCCCTGAGGTACCCCCTTACTAACAAGAAAAAAATCATATAAATCGGACAAGGTGGTAAAGCATTATCGCTAAACATACATAAAAAATGAAGAGTTTGAGGATTTTCTTATGGACCCAATTATTAGATTTTGACCAAATTTATATGGAACCACCCTTGAAGTAGTCCCTTTCTAACAATAAAAGAATCATTGAAATCGGACACCGTGTTAAAGAATTATCGCTGATTTGAAGTTGGTTCAAAAGTAAATTAAAATGAGATCTTTAATTTAGGAAATGTGGAGATTCTTCATGAAGGCACCTGGGGAGCAATTTGTGACGATGAATGGGATATAACTGAAGCAAATATAATTTGCAAACAACTTGGGTATTCTGAAACAAATGTTCAACCGACTGTTAACTCTTATTTTGGACCAGCTAGAAGTAAGAATAAACACATACATTTCTTTTACTTTTAGAAATTATTTTAGCTATAATTATTATAGTTCTTTACATAGCAGCTATTGTATTTCTGCAGGAAAATACTGGATGGACAATATATACTGCGATGGGACCGAAAAAGAAATATCTTCGTGTAGGTTTGATGGTTGGGGTCAACATGATTGTACGTCCTCGGAAGCAGCAGGTGTCATTTGTGAAAAACCTGAAAATGTGTTGAAAAAGCGACTCACTCCGCATAAAAAAGTAATGTAAGTAAACAAATTGATTAAATAAATGAATGATAAAAGTACTGGTAGGGGAGCCAAGTAAAATTACAAATTTTTCATTGTACTTAGAAGAACATGAAAATACTTTGCTGCAGTTCCTACAGTAATGGAGCGCTCGACGAAGACGTCTTAAAAAGCTGTTGTGGTAAATTCTAATGGTACATATTTGTTAAAATAAATACCCTGACATAAGGCTTCGTGGATCAGGTCGCTAGGTACTTAATTTTGGATTTCCTGATAAAAGCAATCTTTTTATTTTGGAAAAAATATGAAAAATGAAAAATCTATTGCTGTTTATTTATTATAATATAACCTCTACAATTAGGCAATTAGGCAATCCGTTAATCTTTCCACTATTTATTTTGTATTATTTTGATAACGGTTCGGAAAAAATGTATGTATATATCATCTTTAATAATAATATGAAGTTCTTGTTTAAAATTATTCATATTTAACTACTTACAATTTATTTCTAAACCGTTATCAAAATTGTACAAAATATAGAACAGAAACATTAACGGATTGCCCAATACGAGTTATATTATGATATATAAAAGGTATTTAAAATAAATCAACAATAGTCGCAGCAAAATATTTTCATCTTCTACAAGAATGAACCAAAAATGTGTAAATTTGCTTTGCACAAATGTATACCAAAAGTGTCACTGGCTCCCCTACCATACAATTTGACATAAAAATTGATGGGAAAGATGTGAGGGTCGGTTAGTCAATTTCACCTAAACATTAGTATAATATATTTTTCCGACGACCACTACAGAAAATCACTTATTCCGAATTGTTTTTTAAGAATCAAAGTAGGCAATGCGGTATACATCCATAATTCCACACGGTAATTCGTATAACCTTTAGTACGAATGAGAAAACACAATAATATATTTTAAGGAGATACACCTATTTAACTAAATAATTCGTCCAAATTAGACTCCAAATCAGTGGCGGTTTGCCCGTAAGGGCACTTGGGCACGTGCCCTAGTATAATAAACAAAAAAAAAAATAACTAACATATTTTATATTTTCCTCAATACCTATTATTATTTTATCTAATATTCCGCGCAAACCGCGTTGGCACGACACGGGACGACCGGGCGTTGAGCGACGTTCCGAGAATTCCGAAAGAAGATGGGCACAGGGCACAGTAAATGTGTGCCTCTGTTGTTTTCTCTCTCATTGTGATGCGAAAAACAAGGACAACGACAATATCGCTTAGCAGGGCGCTATCCTCAGCGTGACGTGCTGTAGCCATGGCACAGATTACCTAGACCAGATATGAATGTACGCAAAGGCATCTTTACCAGCTCCCTAGCAGCCGGTTTTAGCTTAAGATGCGCGTTTGTTGGACCATGATAATTTATTTACGTTAGTTGGACCATAGGAATAGCTGAGAAATAAAACTACAAAGAAAAATAACTTTTTTTTATAAAGCAGTCAAAAATATGATGAAAAAAATCAATAATATTTATAAATGGGACAAAATTTTTATTCTTCTTTTGGTTTTGTCTGACTTTTTCGAGGATTTCAAATCTCTGTTTGCATATATTTAAAAGTATAAAAAATTCTGAGTCTTATAAATAATTTAATGGTGTACATTTTCGCAAATTGTTGGCAAGGATGACCAAATTCTATTTTGCTCATCTCAAAAAGGTATGCGTTGGAAATTCCAGGCTTAGTTGACAAACTATCAAATAGAGATATAAATATTTTTTCTAATTTAAAAATTTAAAAGAGAAATTTTTCGCTGGGAGATTTTAAATTGCCAAACACCTTTTCTTCAGAGTCGTATGCTTTAAAATCCGTTAATAAGTTAGAATAGTTAAGTAAATTGCATTCTTCTAAGAAATTTACGCAAATTTCGCAAGTGGATATGTAATGATTTTTTGATACATAGTTAAATGCATTTTGAGTGGTCACATTTAGCTCCCTGTAGTCACATTCAGAAATCGTTATTGCCGCAACTGATTGTTTTGAAATATATTTAATTTTCATTAAGCGGGGAACTTGTTTTCCTAAGGGAAAAACGAATCCCGGGATTCCTTTCCAGTGTGTGCCCCACTGCCGCTAGTGCCCACGAGCCGCCACTGCTCCAAATACTAAAAATTCTAGTTAATTTAGAAAAAAACATAAAATGATTTATAACTTCTGTAATGTTGGTTGCCTATATATAAAAGAGAATACAAAAAATTCAAATCAAGTTACCCGATTTAAAATATTGACATTTCAAATCTTGACATTTAATTTATTTCGGTATTTTTGAAAATTACAAATAATAAAATGGACAGTGATATAGTCGCATCAAATTAGCATGAAAAAAGTGAAAATGGACAACTTTTTGCGGATAGGTCCGAGGGTCCGATTGAGATGCAATTTCCTGCAAAATTGTTTATTTGACAAATGAGGCATTTTTTAGAGTGTTGAAGAATATGTGGCAAATGCCAAACACGGTTCAACGAAAATGTCTGGAAAATGTTCTCTCGGGGGTTTCGAGCATTCTCTTCATCACTTTGGTGTTAGATTTAATATTTATTGCTAAATTGTTGTAACTTGGCTAATTAACAAATGAAAAACTCAACCCTCGAAATCACTAGAGAACCGGAATTTTTTCCAGCATTTCTGGCTTGTTAAGGTGAACCATCGGCACAAGATTTTTGCAAACGTAATTGTTTATTTTTTAATTGTTGCAACAGGGCTAATTAACAAATAAATAATTTTACCCCCGAAATCATTGGAGAATCAGAATTTTTTCCAATAACCCTGGGGTACTGAAGCGAACCATCGGCACAAGGTTCTTGTAAATATAGTATTCATATATTTATCGTCTTGAGTGTTGAAATATTTTCAATTTCACAATTTTTTTAGGAGACGTTTGCCTCAAAATTTGAAGATTCGATTAAGAGATGGAAGAGTAAAAACAGAAGGCAGGGTCGAAATAAAAACTGAAAATGATAAATGGGAAGTAATTTGTGGAGACGGTTGGTCACTTCTTGAAGCTATAGTTGTTTGCAAGCATTTAAATTTAGGTAATATAAAATACGAAATATTGTTTATTGAATGACCTTTTTCGAAATAGAATCATCATACGTTTCCACATATACATTTTCTATACTACTTGCCTCAACCGAAGCATGTACTAAAAAAGTATAAGTTTTTAATAATGGGTTTAGTACAATCAAAAAAGTTTACTTTGTGTTTATTAAACTAGAACTGGGAGACAACAGTTCTAAGCTATTTTTTCACAGTATTTTAGACCTCAATAACACTTGGTTTAAAAAATAATTGTTTAAGTAGGCGTTTGCAATAAATATTTATAAATTACCTTTTACCCACATCAATACGAAAGTATGTATATAAAGACATTTGTTTACTTACTCTATTGGCAAAACATTGGATTTCAAATAAAATGTCGTATTATTATAGCTAAATAAAACTTCAGGTGAAAAGTGATCTGAACAAACTTTAGCATCTTTCAGTTTTGAGATCTTCCTCATTTATTTTCAAGTTGTTCAGCCATAACTGACGTTGGTATGTATATACCATAAAATAACCAGTTTCTACAATTAGGTATTTTTTGTCAAAAAATAAATAAAACTCTGGCACAGTTGTTACATTACATTATTTACTTTTCATGAGATTGATTTTGACATAACCTACCTATGAAAAGAGCGAGCAATGATGTTGGTCCAAAATTTTGAATTGTCTTAATCACGTTTGTAAATAATTTCTTTTCTCAGATAAACAAATGAAAAATAGATACCTAACACAGGCTTTGTTTGAAGCCGGCACAATCAAAGTATATGGAAGCCAGTATCTACCAGGGCTGGTATATCTAAGGGGGTCGCGACATAGGAGTCCATTTTGGACGCCATTTTTTTCGAAATAGTAGTCGCCATTGATCTGGCAACGTGGCAACTTGTAGTCGCCAGGTTTACCAATATAAGAAAAAAAATCAATGTCATTTCTTAAATGACATTTCCATTATAAAATGCCCATATTTTTAGGATAAAATATTTCAAATTAATAAATTATTAGTCTCAGATGTACATAAAATACGTCGGGAAAAGTAGATCACTTTCAATTTTGTGCTGTTTTAGTTTTGTTTATTTTAAAAGGTAATTAAAGAGATGAAGACAATTTTCTTATAGATGATGCATAACAAATTATTGCTCCCTTTTTTAGAGTTCCAGTCCCTTAAGTCTATTTATTTTAGGTCTTTTTAAATTGTTGGTAGGTATTATTCACTTCATTTGTATGTTTTTAGTTAATTTAAATAATTTTGTGTAATATCTTGTGATTTGTTTTCTATACATTTTAGCATGTATTTGTTGTCTACATCTTACAAAGGATGGATTTGAAATACCTTTACAACAGAGGTACTTTCCTAAAACTGGCCGAAATTTGAAACTGAATACAGTTCTTAGAGAAAATCTCCAGTAAAAAATGTCTGCATGCAGAATAACAGTAGCATAGATTAACAAAGCTGACAAAAGAGTTGGACAAACCTTTGTCTATCTTTCTTAATATTTCAGGACAATAGTGTTAACAGCAGACTACAACAAAAACATCCAAAGTTTAGTAATCAAGCAAAATATTCCGGTATCTATATTTTTATTCAAAACTTTTGTGCTTCTACTCCAATACTAACCATATAGAAGCATATGCATTTTATAGTATTTGCAAGATTCGGATCAAATGTACCCACAATTTATAAAGATTATTAAACTAAAATAAAACATTTCAAATAACACCTGCTTATGTTTTTATTAAATACATAAATTAGTCTCAACCACACATTTTTTTTTGTTTTTACTTCTAGTGTAAAAGTGACTACTAATTCAGTCTTTCAAGTTTATTATTTATACAGACCAGCTACTACAAAATATTTTATTGATGATAACTAATTTCTCTTTAATAATGGTTTTGCATTTATTAACATTTTACAGCACTTTGTTTATATGAAACCTCTATTTAACTCTTAATTAAATCACATTTAAATCAAGTAATTACATTTTCATATTCAACTTATGTATTCTTATTAAAACTTGGTCACTTTTTTTTTACTTTGAATCTTTTGACTGTGGTAACAGTCCATTCACCAAACCACAAAGTCACTTAAAAATGTTGAAAGAGAATGTCATAAAGGTAAAATTTCTTCTTCTATCATGTTTTTCATGCAATTTTAGGTTGTAAACGTTTTGTCCAACACCTTTTTTACAATTTATCCCAAGCAACACTATGAAAGATTTAAATCCTGGATTTACAGCATTCAGTTTTGAGATGAGTGCAATCACAATGTAGTTTAAGAGATAAATTTCACATGAACACTTATTTACCACAGCACAAACGCATGTACCTATTCATGTAATATTAAAATAAAGTGGAAACAAATTGCATAATTTGGTATATAAAAAAGTACAAAATGTTTTAATTCGACATTGGACTACGAGGAAAACAGTGGTTCATTCCACTTGTACCATATTGACATTATTATGCACGATGCTCGTTCAAACGAACGTCAGAAAAGTGTTGCCAACTTAAGCTGACTACTATTTCCCCCCTAGCCTCAGTCACCCCCTCATCCATTTACTGGGTCTATGTCGCGACCCCCTTAGATATACCAGCCCTGGTATCTACAAACTTTTGACAGCTGTGATCTACATGGGCGTATCAAGTAGTTTTTTCATCGGAATCCGAAGGATTATTTTGTCACGGACGGATTTAAAGAAAAATTCAACTTAAACATAAAATTTTATTTTACAAAAGTAAACTACGCTATTTTTTAATGAAATTATAAGGAAATAACACTATGTAATGTAATAGCTTTCTATGTGTTCTAATTTAACTCTTTGATAGCTAGCGATATTTAAGTTCGTGTGTAGATTGTGAAATACAAAAATAATAAAAATAGAGATAAAGGCCATTTTTCGGCGCAAACTATTAGGTTAGGGCATATTAAATGTTAAAATGGCAGTCTCTCTCCTGGCATTTTGACAATATAATACAATTATCAGGATAATTACACTAAAGTTTATTAATACTACAGCAGGTTAGGGTAACCATACATACAGCATTTCACTATATTTGCTGCGTTTGAAAAGTAACCTCTTTTTACTCGAAGCCTTTCTTTTACTACATCAGTGGCTTCTCGGTAAGATCTGCTCTGTAGTCTTTTAATGCAGAGCTGGTACGTCGAGTAAGATCTATTTACTCCGAATTAAATTTAAGAGAAATATTTATAAAAAACGTCAGACAGAAATTAGAACATGGTTTATTTTCTAGTGAAAGCAAAAGGCGAAAAATATCACAGCTAAAAATTCACTTTACTTTGCAACAAAAACCACTATACGAGAGAGCAAATTTGATTTAAAAGAAAGGTTTAAGTTTATTATTTTAATGAAAACCGGAAACAACCAAATCCATAGCCGGTCTTTTATTTCACATAATTTCGATGATCACGTGACTAAAAATCTAGCTCTACTCCGCTCCAGGAGGTACTTTTTAAACGTAGCAATTGTACAACTCTTCTTAATGAAACGTAACAAATAAGACAAAAACGTAATACATATGACTTATCTGTTGTATTAATCTAAAAAAGTCTTCACCTCACCAAAGTTCATCATCAATGTTGTATTATCCAGCATGGTGACCCTACAGTAGGTATACCTACCCATATACTGTTGATTTATGTTTATTCAGAACAAGTTCGATAAACAAGCATACTATTCATTCATTTTCACAAAATCATGTTGAGAAGTTTAGCTAAAAGTAGCTGGTTTACCCTGTTGAATGCCTTGAAAAAGTCCTTCCCTCTCAGTCAGTGATTTGTTAAATAAAATACTAAAAGGATGTTATATGATGTATACCAGATTAACGAAAATAAATTCAGAAATACCATGAGGGCAAAAACTTACGGAGAATTTAAAGTTTTCGAAAACCCCTCTAACAATAATTATGTTTCGTATCAATATCACATTTACTATTAGAATCATAAAAACAATTTATTGATTTGATGAGTTAGAAAAAATGGAGTGGTTTTACCGTGCAGTTCTAGTCTATGAAGATCCAAACATTAAAAATGTTAATATATACAATTTTTGTCAAACAAGTATAATCACAGGAATTAAAGAATTTAATATAGTTCATTTATTGTAGTATATTTAAAAGTTCACCTTTTCGATTATGTTTTCTATCTGAAAAACGACGTTTTATGTCACATTCGAATAAAAACAAATTTATTTTTGAAAAATTTAGTTTTTTAAAGGATTTTTGGCTTTCGTTATCCTCAGTGCATCAGAAGATGCAAGCGACTTTAAAATAGTACATTTTCTTAAATTTTCAGTGTAAATTAATATTTACTTTACTTTATCAATTATTTTATTTAATAACTAAGTTTAAAATGTAAGAATGATTTGTAATAGGTAGGTATTATTTAATATTATTATAAAACTTACTTGTTTTCTGAAGATGGTCCAGGTTGAGCATTGAATAAAATGGGAATTGCTCCTAACTTTAAAATCATCTTCCCGGAGACATTCATTACAAAATCATCTATTTTAAAATGTTCCGAACATATTCTGGAGTTTTTATTGATTTTATCAACTTCATCAGTTCCTATTTGTAGGTTTTGAAACCAAATTTTTCTTATTTCAAGGTTTGTTGGAAACTTAAAATTGCGATTTTTTTGAGTGGCTTTGGGTATTGTGTATTGATGGTGAAATATATTCTTTTTTAATTAGGTACCTACATAACGTAGTATCTACATTAGTATTGAAACATTAATATACCAATACTTAAATTAAAAAAAATGGTGCCTGGTGCCGCCTATGTGTTTTATTTACTTACCAATGAAAGGAGGTAGGGACCACCCAAAATGTATCTTTTGGAAAAATAATACACTTGTTAGTCATTTTTACCCTTAAAACTAATAAATATCGTTTAAAAAACACAATAGAAACTGAAAAACTTTAATAAGGCGTTCTGAGAACATAAAAACAGAAATTTTAAAATCAAAATTGACAATTCCCAACTGCTTGTTGACAGTTGTGAGAAACTTTTAGCGCTGCTATTTAAAATAGACGAATCACATCGAAGACCACGGAGAAAGAGAAAGTAATAGATAAAACGGTTCATACTGGATTCAAACAAATCCAGACCGTTAGGCATCTATTATTTATTTGTTTATCTGAGTTTCTTTTATATAAATAAATAAAACAAGAATATTTGACTAAAATAAAACACCGAATGCAGGGCTGGTATATCTAAGGGGGTCGCGACATAGACCCAGTAAATGGATGAGGGGGTGACTGAGGCTAGGGGGGAAATAGTAGTCAGCTTAAGTTGGCAACACTTTTCTGACGTTCGTTTGAACGAGCATCGTGCATAATAATGTCAATATGGTACAAGTGGAATGAACCACTGTTTTCCTCGTAGTCCAATGTCGAATTAAAACATTTTGTACTTTTTTATATACCAAATTATGCAATTTGTTTCCACTTTATTTTAATATTACATGAATAGGTACATGCGTTTGTGCTGTGGTAAATAAGTGTTCATGTGAAATTTATCTCTTAAACTACATTGTGATTGCACTCATCTCAAAACTGAATGCTGTAAATCCAGGATTTAAATCTTTCATAGTGTTGCTTGGGATAAATTGTAAAAAAGGTGTTGGACAAAACGTTTACAACCTAAAATTGCATGAAAAACATGATAGAAGAAGAAATTTTACCTTTATGACATTCTCTTTCAACATTTTTAAGTGACTTTGTGGTTTGGTGAATGGACTGTTACCACAGTCAAAAGATTCAAAGTAAAAAAAAAGTGACCAAGTTCTAATAAGAATACATAAGTTGAATATGAAAATGTAATTACTTGATTTAAATGTGATTTAATTAAGAGTTAAATAGAGGTTTCATATAAACAAAGTGCTGTAAAATGTTAATAAATGCAAAACCATTATTAAAGAGAAATTAGTTATCATCAATAAAATATTTTGTAGTAGCTGGTCTGTATAAATAATAAACTTGAAAGACTGAATTAGTAGTCACTTTTACACTAGAAGTAAAAACAAAAAAAAATGTGTGGTTGAGACTAATTTATGTATTTAATAAAAACATAAGCAGGTGTTATTTGAAATGTTTTATTTTAGTTTAATAATCTTTATAAATTGTGGGTACATTTGATCCGAATCTTGCAAATACTATAAAATGCATATGCTTCTATATGGTTAGTATTGGAGTAGAAGCACAAAAGTTTTGAATAAAAATATAGATACCGGAATATTTTGCTTGATTACTAAACTTTGGATGTTTTTGTTGTAGTCTGCTGTTAACACTATTGTCCTGAAATATTAAGAAAGATAGACAAAGGTTTGTCCAACTCTTTTGTCAGCTTTGTTAATCTATGCTACTGTTATTCTGCATGCAGACATTTTTTACTGGAGATTTTCTCTAAGAACTGTATTCAGTTTCAAATTTCGGCCAGTTTTAGGAAAGTACCTCTGTTGTAAAGGTATTTCAAATCCATCCTTTGTAAGATGTAGACAACAAATACATGCTAAAATGTATAGAAAACAAATCACAAGATATTACACAAAATTATTTAAATTAACTAAAAACATACAAATGAAGTGAATAATACCTACCAACAATTTAAAAAGACCTAAAATAAATAGACTTAAGGGACTGGAACTCTAAAAAAGGGAGCAATAATTTGTTATGCATCATCTATAAGAAAATTGTCTTCATCTCTTTAATTACCTTTTAAAATAAACAAAACTAAAACAGCACAAAATTGAAAGTGATCTACTTTTCCCGACGTATTTTATGTACATCTGAGACTAATAATTTATTAATTTGAAATATTTTATCCTAAAAATATGGGCATTTTATAATGGAAATGTCATTTAAGAAATGACAGTGATTTTTTTTCTTATATTGGTAAACCTGGCGACTACAAGTTGCCACGTTGCCAGATCAATGGCGACTACTATTTCGAAAAAAATGGCGTCCAAAATGGACTCCTATGTCGCGACCCCCTTAGATATACCAGCCCTGACCGAATGATACTTTTAAAAACATACATAAACAGGGTTGCCAAATGTTCAGTTAAAATATAGTATTTAATGGTTAAACCGATGGATCGTAGTGAACAAAATCTAAAAACATTTAAATGAGAAATTTTATAAATATGATCCAGATTCTTAAATGAACTGTTAAATATTAAGCTTCATATTAAGTATTTTGAACCTTGAAACATTGGGAACTAATCATTATTATCCTTATACGTTTAACCGAAAGACTCACTATGGCAACCTCTGCTGGTTCCACCGTTTGTTGTGCATGCGATTATGGACCTTATTATTACGGCAATTGTATTTGTAAACAAGGCGTATCTATTCCAATACATGATCGAATATAGAGATCTCAACGATTTGACAGATGCGGCACTGTGACGTCACACAAGCAAATCATCTATGTTTTGTTTATTCCAGAGTTTATTTGATAAATTTTTCTGTATAATCGCTATGGTAACGGTTTAGAAGTTGAAAAATCACTAACTTATGTTCAAAATAGAAGCAATAGGAACAAGTATTCTAAAATATTCATTTCTCAAGTATGTTGGAAGGTTGGAAAGAAGACGTTCTGTGAAATAAATTTAAAACAATTTACTAATAATTTTTTTTTTTTTTGTAATAATAAGTCGTACATATTTGTGACGGAGCCATATGATTAGATTTATTTATTGTTACATTTTTAAGCAATGAGGATTTGAGTTTTCGGAAAAAACTAAAAATAATTATTTTTTATATTTTAACAGAAGTAAATAGGTACGTCACGGATAAAAAAAAACAAACTATTAATAATTTGAAACGAGGATATTTCGTTAGAAAATTGCTACTATTGTTATCTCCTAAAAATGAATTAACTATTCTTTTATTTTTAAGGTTATGCAAGCGACGCAATGCAAACCACATATTTTGGAGGCAATCTAACAAATAACAGTTTAGCGGGTATAAAGTGTGTTGGAAATGAATATTCTTTATCTCAGTGTATGTATGCAAAATTCCATACAGGGAGGTGCGACAGTAAGGATGTAGCGGCCGTCTCTTGTACAAACGCGTTAGGTAAGCATTCTGAAAACAATATATTATGTTCCTTTGCTACTATTTCTTGTCTTATTCTACAATAGAAAGTTTGTTTCGTAGAAATATTTGTTTTTAAAATGTTTTCTTATGCCTATAAGTTGTATTATGTACGTTTACTGTTACATACATTACTTACTAAATGCAAATGAAGGATTTACTTAATAGTTACAAATTCAAATCCTACTAAAGCGATTTACTATTGAAGAACTACCAATTTAAAACTAAACAAGATTTGTTTCTTTAAGCTGACTTAGTAATTGACCACCACGAACTCATGAGATCCGCCCACTTAGAGGACCTACAGATGTTCTTCCTTCAATGTGCAATGGAAGAAAATTGCGCAGCTTCTACGGCATACGACATTCAAAGAACCAATCCGGCATGGCATTTGGAACCCAGAAGACTGTTGAGATTTACGGCGAAAATTTTTAACGCTGGCACTGATGATTTCAGACCGTCAATTCCGAAACACCTGTGGGAGTGGCATATGTGCCATAGGTAACAAAAATGATTAAAATTATTTATGCAGTTTTGAAGTTTTCTTCAATAACTTATTATTCATATGATATTTCTCTTTATGTAAAAGTTAATATGAAATAGAATCGTCAACAATACCCATGTAATCTGGTAAATTTAACGAAAATGGTGGGGGGGTGGGTGGCTCAGTGGTTAGAGCCTGTGCCTGTGGATCCAAGGGTCCCAGGTTCGAATCCCACCGTTGGCCGGAATTTTTTCATTTAATTTAATTATTTAAAATTAATTCTGATGCCTTGGTAGGATTCCCCACTCGACCATTTACTGTTGGGTTCTAATTAACAGTGCTGTTCCTAAAGTGGCGCTGGGAAACAGTAACAAAGCCTACACAGAACACACATGATTGAGAATTTAAACACAAATTTGAGACTGGCATATTAGGTATATACACCTAGGCCATAAATCGAAAAAAAAAAAAAAAACGAAAATGGTCTTTCTTGGTGACTTTTATGATAAATTAAATGTCAGTTCTGTCAAATACGTCAGTGACATTGTTTTAGGGTATGGGGTAGTATTCTCGAGTCACGAATATAGATTCGCATGCGAGATTTATGATTTGTCTCACTTGGTTTTCGTTCAACAAAGTGAGACACATTGTAAAACACGTATGCGAATGTCGGTATTCGTGATTCGAGAATACTACCCCTGGTCCGATATTAACCGTCTACTAACCGTAACTAACCAGGATCTTTTACAGCGGTTTCTGAAAAAGAATAATTTGATGGTTAATTTGGACCACGGCCGAGAGTTGCGTTACTTTTGTGACATATTGACATTCGACTTAATTGGTAACCGTAAAAATATAGCGGTTAGTGAATTGACGTTTCAGTAGCCATTTTTAGGTAACCGCGTCACTAATTTAACCGGTTTTTCAGGAATGTCAAGCAAAGTAATTAGTTTTGGATCGAATAACCGAAATTTCGATTAATATAGGTCCATACCCTTAAGGTTACTACTGAAGTTTGTTGTTAAATACGTCAGTAACTTTGTTTTAGGGTTACTTCTGAAGTTTGTTACTTTTAGGACCGATTTTTTTTCACATCTGAGTAAAGTTACACGTAAGGTTACTTGACATATTAGCGAACGATAACCTTCAGCCTAATTCAGCAAGTAGTTTCTTTTAACTTTACTCAAAGATGAAAAGATTGGTCCCTACCCAACTGCTGATCAATTTGGTCACGAGTGATAGCCTCACGGTAAGGGCACACATCCGGTAAACGTGATGATGTGAGTTCGACTCCCTCCAATGACAGGTTTTTTTTTTAAATCTACAAATATTTGTTTTCACATTTGGGGTCCGGAGATGGTCTTAATAATTCGTAGGGAGATTTTTGAGGTTTTCGAATTTTCAAATTTATTTGATACAGGTATTGTTGAAGACTCTGTAGAATTGTTTAAATAAATACCTCACATTTTTTGCCATTATTTCCTCTACAACCAATTTTTTTTAATATTTCGCAAATAAACTATAAATAATGTTTTTATTTTAGACATTATCACAGCATGGAGGTTTTCGCAACATTTGACATCTACGACAACAAAGGCAAAAGAGTTGCTGAAGGACACAAAGCGTCCTTCTGTCTAGAAGACAATCAATGTCTACCTGGCACGAAACCGAAATTCGCGTGTGCTAACTATGGTGATCAGGGCATATCTGTAAACTGTTCTGACATTTATAAATACACTGTCGATTGTCAGTGGGTTGATATTTCTGATTTAAGTCCGGGGCTTTACACGATGAAAGTAGCTGTCAATCCAGAATTTAAAGTGCCCGAGATGACTTTTGAGAATAATGCAGCTTACTGTGACTTTTATTATTCGCAATATTATGGAACTGTCACTAATTGTAGTGTTCAAAGACCATAAAATATGTAGAACAAAGAAAATTAATTATCAGTACATCAAAAATTAAAAATACTTTAGGTACCTATGATTTTTTTTTTAATTTTGTTTAGATTTATATTTAATATGTTGGTGCTAAAATGTAAATATGTGTATAGATATGTTTTTAACTTATAAACTTTTTGATATTTTCGAGGTGTTTTATTTATTTTACCAAATAATAAATGAAAAGTTATAGTTCATTGTCAACTCTGTTAGTACCGTTACTGTTAGGATTTACAAAACAGTAGATAATCACCATTTTTTTAATGGACCGCCCCATTTTTTCCAATTTCCGGATTGGAAAAGGAAAAGGGGGGGCAAAAATACAAAAGTTGTTTATAAATTAATTATTAGCTAAATAATAATACTATTAAAAATTCCCATAATAGGTCGATTTCTGATTTTAATATACTGTTTTCTAAAATAATCAAATACAAAGTAAACTACACGTGAACTACCTTTATGTGCGTCATCACCATTTTTTTAAATAAAACACCATTATTTTACAATTTCCGGATTCCCCTTGCTGAGCCGATTCAAAAAATGTATTATACATTGTTTCAAATTGGTATAGGGTGGGGAAAAATAAAAATTACAAGTTACTTCCAAAATAAGAAATAAATAAACAATAAACATTAAAGACAAATTAAATGAAATTACTTATTGTTATAAAACTACTTTGATAAACTATTAAAAACACGTATATTTTAAAAATTGTACCTAATAGCTTTTATTAGTGCTCCTCGCCTCTCGACTATACTGTATTGTTTTTTTTTTCAAATGACGTTAAAAATTGTCATAAACAGTAAATAGCTATTTTTGAAACCAGTTACGAAATGCCTTATTTTATGTAACGAGTGAATATTTGCAGGACGAGCAGAGCGAGGTGCTGCAACATGAACGAGCTACAAAAAAGGCATTTCGTAACGTGTTACACACAATATTTTTTATAATATTGACTAATTATAAAATTGTTAATTGGTAAAAAATTACTGACATATAGGCAACCAATATTACTATTGTTTGTACTGTTAGTTGTATATAATATAATTAACAATAGGGGACCAATAAGTGAACCTTGAAGAACACCGACTGAACCGTCACTTGATATGAAACATTGACACAAATTATTCAAATAAGATTGAATCCAGTAAAGAAAAGAACCAGAGTTTCTTGAGTGACAATTCATGATAGTCACTGTCAAAAGCATTTGGCAGATCACTGTAAATGGTGACAACTTGGTAACCATTTTCAAATTAAGAAGTCTTCATAGATTTCCAGATTACTTGTTGAGGTGAAAATAGTTTGTATATGTGTAAAACATTTGTTCAATCAAGAATAATGGTGGTACCCCGTCAGGACCGGTGATTTTGCTGGATCCAAGACATTTTATATAAAAACACACTTCACAAGGAGTGAAAATGGCGGTAGTTAAAGTATAATAAAATGGCACAAAAGGAAGATCAATTTTTCGGTATGTCCTTTTTAGAGTAGCACGTTTGCAAATAAGATGTGAATACGTCTGCAATTCCTTCAGAATCACTGAATTCATAGTACTCATACTTGATTAAATTAGTCAACCCATAATCTCCCAATTTGCAGAGTGCTTTGTTTTTTGGAATTAAGTTATCAGAGTTTGAAACAAACATTTAGTAACACCTGTTCCAAATTTTATTTCACGCGTTTTAATGGAGTATTTAATGTAATTGCTTTGAAGTTTGGTTCTCTGGTATCTTTTATGGAGCTTATTGTAATCAGAAATTAATTTGCATAATACAGCGTCACACAACCGCATATCTTTTTCTTTGGGACATATTAGCATAGTGCTACAATCAATAGTAGTCCAATCATTATAGTAAGTTCACCTCGGAATTCGAGATACCCAGCTGTAAGTCTGTAAATACTTGTATATTGACACCCTAAAAGTTGTCTCAAAACCTACATACGGTAGGGTGTACGCATCTATTAAATTTCAAGGTCAAAGGTCACAAAAATCGGTTTTTTGCGCTTTTTTTTGTAAATATCTCATTTCCTATGGGTTTTTTGCTATTTGTATTTATTATCAATATTGTAGAATACAAAATTCTCTAAAAATTTTGTTAAAAATTTTTCATACGGTGAACCGTTTTCGAGATAGATGACGGAGAGCGCGCGGTCACAGCATCACTTCAGGTCAACCGGTGCCTCCGGTCGAAAACGCGCCATATATAGTTGATGAAATATCGATAAATCAATGATTATAAATATTTGTCAATTTTTATTAACTATTATATTATATTTTATCATTTTTTTTCCTAACCTATCCACTTTTTATTTAGTATTAATTTATTTAACAACACTTACCTGCCCATGTAATTGCAAAATTGTTAATGAAAATATAGGAATTATATTTGAATTTTAACCTAATTAATATTAATAAATTCTTACATGATGAAAAAAAAAAACAAATAAATTATGAATTAATCTTTTTATTAAAAAATTTCATTTAATACTTTTATTTTTATTAAAAGTAAAAAAATGGAATAAAAGGTACAAAAACTACAATTTATAATTTTAATAATCTTCTTCCTCTTTATCGTCGTCTTCCGGCTGCTGGTAAATTTCAAACTGGTCTTCATTATCGTCTTCAACGACATTTCTCTCAAGTTCTTCCATGATTTCGGGGTCAAAGGTTCCATCTTCGTTAATGTCGCTCTGATATGGTAGAGCATTGAGACAAGCTTGCCCATTACATTGGCCACAAGCTAAAGAGCATTGCAAGCCCGCTTTCCTGCATCCGCATCGCGAACCACAACCACTCTTGCAGTTGCAGAAAATTGTATTTAGCAAATCTTCTGGAGCAGGTGGTAAAATTGTCATGATAGGCTCCAGAAAATTGTTTCGCATTGCCCAACTCCATACCTGGGGTTCCAAATCATGCCTTAACCAAGTTTGAACTTAATAATATACACGTTTGAAAGGTTGATGAGCAGCTGCTTTTGTTGGTGGAATATTTGAAAGCTGCACAGGTTAATTAGGTTTTGTAGACTTGACGTAATGCATATAACGAAGATGATCGAGACTTTTCACAGATTTCGGAGCATTATAGACTGCCAATAAGATTTGAGTTCCACTCTCTAATAATCTCTGGGCCGAACAATTTTCTTTCTTAAATGCTGCAGCTAGTTCATTCAAATTTGTCAGTTTCTCAAAAACTTTAAAAAATGATTTTTCCCTTTTTAAAAAGCGCAGAAGTTGTGTCACAGCACCAATGCGTGCAGAAATAAAATATGTGTATTGGAATGAGGATAATTATCAAAACTTTTAGTCAAGTATATCCCCGTTTTTACATTTCCTTTCCCAACTTTTTTAAAGAAAATGTCTTGTTCGTAAGACAGTGTACGCCCAATTAAAATGACAAGTAAATCAATATCTTGTCCTATTATAACTGCAGTTTTTTCAGAATTTGATTCTTCAATTGCAGTTTCAACAATAAGAACATCAGCATTATCTCTGGCTTGTTTAGTAGTAATATTTGCAGCTTGTAATTTTTCAATTAACTTATTAATGAGCATATCTTTGTTATTTCGATTTGATAAGAATTTTTCTTGAGTAACTGGTACAACTATTGTTTCATCTTCTCTGCTGCTCCATAGCTTTTACGTTCTTACTGTAATCTGAATTTTTTTAAACAAAATTTGTAGAGAATTTTGTATTCTACAATATTGATAATAAATACAAATAGCAAAAAACCCATAAAAAATGAGATATTTACAAAAAAGCGCAAAAAACCGATTTTTGTGACATTTGACCTTGAAATTTAATAGTTGCGTACACCCTACCATATGTAGGTTTTGAGATAACTTTTAGCGTGTCAATATACAAGTATTTACAGACTTACAGCTGGGTATCTCCAGTTCCGAGATTCTTACCTAATATAAGCTTAAATGACTGGACTATAGAGATGGGCGTACTACACTGTATGGTTCGCATACTTTTTTTCTAACTGGTATATAAAGGATATGGCGCACGTTTTTCAATAAGAGGATATTATAGAAGAAATCCAGGAGTAGTGAGCAAATCCCAATTAACAATTAAAAGTGTTATTTGAGAAATAAAACTAGATACAAATTAAACAATATAATGGTCTTTTTTTAGTCAAATTACATCAATTCTAGACAATTTGTTTACGGAAAATCGTGATTGTGGAATAGAAACTTTAACATCCTTCTTTGTAACGACCATTTTATTCCAAAAATTAACCTCGCAAAAACGAAATAATCAAATATGAATATAAAAAAAATAATTCTTTATACAATATTTGAGCACCAATTCAGATTAAAATCACAGATTAGATACATATTTAATACGAAAAATGAATTTATTTAATAAAATTCTTAAAATGTGTTGTGCCATAATAAAATGTAATATTTTTCCACGCCCAAAAACTAAAAATATATTTTCAACAAATTTTATCTAAATAAAAGCACAAAATTAAGTTAATTTGTGCATAAAAATAGTCATTACATCACATTTCTTTTTTTGCGATATCCAACTCGAACTATTAAATCTACCATCATAGCAGATGAAGTCTATATCTATAGAGACGTCAAAATGTCAAAATTAAATAATCTAAAGTCAACACTCAATGTCAATTATAATTCATTGAGAGTCATTGTTTAGAAATTTGACAATAGCGTCTCTGTTATATTTTCAATTGTTCTATGATCTAAAAATTAATCTCATGTAGTAAAAAAACAGGTATGTATGTATATATGCGTACAAAATCACATCTACCTTTTAAATAGAGGCTATTTCCAGTAAAAAATCCAAAAAACTCTATCATCTACCACGATGGTTTTTTGAGTCTGTTGTGGCACGAGAATTAGAATAATATTAGCGAATATATGTACCCTGTACCATTTTAACAAGATTTGATTACACATTATTAATAAATTTTTGTACAATTTAAAACTATTATAATAAAAGAAGAAACGACAGTAGATCGATGGAACAAATTTAACAAACGTCGCTTCCCATTAAAAACGATTTCGAATGCTACATTTATTCTAAATTCTCAAACCACCGACATACCAAACACTATAATTATTACGCAATCATATCCTGACAATATATCCTTTTCCTGTCGACCATGAACCGTGGAATAGGGAAGGGCGCAGAATGGGTAAGAGATGGAAATAGATAAATAAAGCCTCAACTGGCTTCCTAGCCCGGGGATCAACTCTCCGCCAATTGTGGTGTCATTTGAGGTAACAATATGGGGTTAATAGGTATCGGTCGCGTCCTGGGAAGTTGCTTTTTCTGAAAATAAAAAACAATGAGTTTAACCGTATCAAATATTATAAATTAATGTTGATTACTTAATACAAGTAGGTCTATTTTTTTTATATCTAAATTTAATGCCTTCTCCTAAACAGTATTATGATTGAGGTAGAGGGCGTTATTGAAATACAAGTAGATATTAAAACATATTAATATTTAGATTCTCTTAGAATGTGCAAAAATATTGTTTTAGAAAATACGAATTATTAATGGGGTCATTAAATTATGAAAATGTATGTTAAAGGTATGAAGACTAAAGAAAAGGAAGTGAATCGGCAATGTAAAATGAAGTTATTTTTTTAAAAAATTGGTAAAAACAATCAAAATAATGTGAAAAAAGTACCTGAGTACAAGTAACATGAGTGACAAAAAACATTAAAGCAAGATTTACGTCGTTCCCGATTATAAAACAGGATACAAATCAACTGTAAAACTAAAGAAAACACAAGGATAAATCAATGCAATGTCTTTTTAAAGCTTCTAATGTAAGTAAAATAAAGTATTTGTCTAAATATAATATTTATTGTAAACTAGTCGCAGAATGTAGTTTATATTTTATTACAAGTTACTACAATATAAAATTTTACAGTCATAGATCCTGACAACAATAATTTTACATTAAATTTAACTTACTAGAAAAAAAAATTATTTTTATAGAGTTTTAATATTAGATAAAGAGTTGCTAATGTTATTTTTTTGTTGAACCCCAATTGTGTCGTTGTAAATGTTTTTTTATCGGATACTAAATGCTTAGAACAGTGGCAGCATATATAATAATAATAATAATAATAATAATAATAATTTATTATTTACCATATGAAACAAAGATATACAAAGTAGTAACTCTAAAAATATTGCCTAGAGAGATAAAAACGTATGGTAAATAAAAGGTTAAAGTTAGGTCATGGACCGAATCTGCCACAATAACCTTAAAAAAAAAGAAAAAGATATTTATAATCGAATTAAATTACGGGTTTTGAGCTTACATTAAATTGTAATTAGATGAAACAAAATGGATTCTATGTATTTTGAGGTGATCTTTTCGAAAAAAGGCAAAACAAAATGTAGCAGTTTTTCGAAAGTGCCGAAATTTTGGATTTTGTCAATTTTTCAATTTTGCGCAGGCGCATGTCGGAAATAAATCAATATTTTTAAAACGCAGTTTACGACATTTGAAAGCTTAGGAAAAATGCTAATTTTTATGTCTCTTGAGAAATTTTGATCCGATGCACCGTTCTCGCGGTATGGACGATTGAAATTTGTTTAGTATTTTGAGGCGACGAAGGTCGAAAAATTGAATTTGTTAAATGTTCAAACACTAAATTCTTTATAACATGGTTAAAAATTAGGATATTTAAAAAAACAAAAATGCGTTTTGAACTTAAGGGATGTAACTAGTGATTCCCAGAAGGGGGCAAGAGAAATCCCAAAATTGGGCATATGGCGGAAGGGCAAAATGCACCTCGGTCCTAATTTCATTGTTTGCCTATAACGGCCAAACTATTTGAATTTTTTTAATGGCACTTACAAAGCTTACTCTTAAATGTGAAATCTTATGTGTGTGTGAATTTAACCGACATCGGACCATAATTGGCTAAGATATCAAACAATTAAATATTTTTTTTTTTTAAATAATTTTTTTTTTTCGAAAGTTTGAAGTGGCACAAAAATGCCAAAAATGCACCCAATGGCTCAAAACTTTTTTTTGAGTACTCTATATTATCTAGAATACGATTACATTACGGAAAATTCTGCAAATATATTTTATCTATATTTTTGACCACTGTTCATTGAGTGACGACCAAAAAACACGGTTTTTGAGAAAAGTTGCCTAAAATTGACAATTTTTAGTTTTTTTGTCTGAAAATTAAACAAACCCAAATTTCATGTCTTCTAAATGTGTATACAAAGTTTAAAGTGTGTATGTTTCTTCTAAGTTGTAGAATTCTCCCGACAAAAGTCCCATTACACGCGCTCCGCGGGATCCAAAACTCGTGTATACACTACATTACTGTAATTTGATTTTTTTGCGATTTCCAGTTTTAAATTTCTTGCATATCTAAATTTATTAGGCTTAAAATTTATTAAATTGTATTTTACTGATTTGAGTTTTGTGCAAAATATAAAATTACCAGATATTAGCGAACAAAAAGCAAGCTTATTACCAAGTTGGAACTTACACTCAGGCTTAGGATTAATTTCCTAACATTTTTAAAGTATACCTTTTTGTGTATTTTTTTGTGCTCTTTTCGATGGCGAAGTTAGTTTTTTCAAATATATTTATTTTGTTAGATGTTTTCGGAAAACCCGGAAAAAAATCACATGAGAAAAAAATTAAAAAAAAACTACGCCTCTGGTTTTCTGCGAATTCCCGAAAAATTATGTCAGATTTCGCCGCGGGACTTATTTTATTTGAGAGCCAACAAAAAAATACGCAACTTCTCTCATGGGCACATATGTCTAACATTTATAATTTCGCCACAAATTCATCGCAAATTTCATGTCCATGGTTCTGATCAAAAAAACGAAAAAACGACTTTTTGGTAAAAGCACTTCTGGCGGCAAGAAATTCGCCATTAAAACTACCTGTGCAATGAATTTCCGAACTATTTTTGCCTCCTCTTTCGAATGGTGCATTTATTTTCAATATCGGAATGATACTTGCCCAGATAATTAGCATTTTTACCATGGAAAATTTCGGAAAACCCGGTTTTTCCTAATTTAAAAAAAAATTGAAAAACTGCTACATCTTTTTTTTCTTTTTTTCGGAAAGATCACATCAAAATACATAAGGTCCTTTTTGTTTCATCCAATTACAAATTAATGTAAGCTCGAAGGGGCTTTTTTTCGTTATTTAATTGGACTATTAAGTTTTACCACCCTTATAACAAATACGTAAATAACAAAAAAAAATATATATATATATATTTATTCTAATTGTTTTAAAAAGTACTAAATGAAGAGATCACAAATTCAGAGTTCAAAATTGTAAAATTCACAATTCACAATATCGTTCCTAGTGCACTAGAGCACTTTCTAGAGATGATGCTGTTCTATACTTTTTGGAAGATATTATCAAATATGAGACTATCTTTACTGATGGTACTTTTAGCAAAATAAAAAGGGGAAAGCTAAAATTAAAGGATAGGGTAATATCATGTACATTCCCAAATCTCCCTTTATACTTGTATTACAACAATAAAAAATTTGCGCTTAAAATTATATATAGGTTCAATTCAAAAAAATTTTGCCACAAAATTATACTTATCAAATTTCAGCATTTTACAAACTTTTTCGAATTTGGTCATACCTATCTAATTTGTATTTTATATAGATAAAATTAAATAATTTATCAATTAAAACAAGCAAGACTTATATAGAAATAAATACAACAGTATGTTTTGTGCTTTATTTAGCTATAAACAAGTTTATTTTTATTATTTTGACAAAATTATGTATAATTCCTATAAGAAGCCATGTTTTTTGAACACCGTAATCAGTAACAGCGCCCATGTGGTTAATTATAAAAGCTCAATTAGCGTCTCTAGTCTTCATAGTTTCGAAAAAACAAACCCTGTGCTAAAAGATTATAGTTACTTATCAAGATAGTTCACTTATTCATCTTAGGGGTATCCTCGTCATTGACGTTCGAATGTCAGTTAGCGACTCGAAATGCGTTCCTTTCACGATTATTTGACCGGGGAAAAGAAACAACTCACAATGAGTCATATCAGAAGAATACGGCGGGTTGGGAAACACTGGAATATTTTTTGAGGTTAAAAATTGCTTCACACTAAAGCTACGATCACATGACGCATTGTCATGGTAAAGGATCCAGGAACTTACGATATCTGGACGGACTTTAACAACTCTTTTTTGCAATATTTTAAATACTTCGAGGTAGAATTTTTGATAAATAGTCTGCCCAGGTGGCACGAACTTCTTATGCACCATCTCTTTACTGTCAAAGAAGCAAATCATCGTTTAGACTTTGGATATTACCATTCTTGCCCTTTTTTGACCTTGCTGAGCCAGGAAACAGTCACTGTTGGCTATGCCGTTTTGTTTCAGAGTCATACTGAAAGAACAAACTCTTGTCGCCAGTAATTGAAAGATTGGATCATGTTCAACTGGGGATGCCACCTGTACACTTAGAAAAGTTAATCAGAAGTGAGTTATCTGTACACCAATTGTAAACTTTTATTATGTGAGACTGAATCTCAATGGCAATGAACACAATATTGAGCCTTGCGAGATCCCAGAGAAAATGTTAATTTCAAAAGAATTGACAGCACAAGATTCTATAATCAGTTTTTTTTGAGTCAGGTATGTGGTAAAGAAAATTAACAATTTATTTAGTTTATTCTAAATTGGAAAGTTTAACAGTAGAACACTCTAATCCAACCGGTCAAAATCCTCTAGAAAAATCTGTATAAATGACAATCTCTAAAGCCGGATACTGTATGAAATAACTTTAAAATGATATCATAAATAAAGATAAGAAATAGCAATGGAGCCAATACTGAGCCTTGCGGGACCCCAGAGATAATGTTAATTTCAAATGATTTGATATAAGATTCTACAATCAATTTTTTTTGAGTCAGGTATATGGTAATGAAAATGAACAAATTAATTACTTTATTACAAATTGGAAAAGTTTAACAGTAGAATACTGTGGTCCAATGGGTCAAAAGCCTTAAAAAAATCTGTATAAGTGACAATGTCCAATTCCGGACACAACGAAATAACTTTAAGATGATATCATTGATAAAAATAAGAAATAGCAATGGACCCAATACTGAGCCTTGTGGGACCCCAGAGAAAATGTTAATTTCACAAGATTTGATACAAGATTCTGCAATCAATTTTTTTAGAGTCAGAAATGAGGCAAAGAAAATTACCAAATTATTTAGTTTATTCTAAACTGGAATGTTTAACAGTAGAACACTGTGGTCCAACCGGTCAAAATCCTTAGAAAAAGCTGTATAAATGACAATCTCCAATGCCGGACACTAAACGAAATAACTTTAAGATATCATTGATAAAAATAAGAAATAACAATGGATCCAATACTGAGCTTTGCGGGACCCCAGTGAAAATGTTAATTTCAAACGATTTGATGTAACAACATTCTACAATCAATTTTTTTGAGTCAGGTGTATGGTGAAAAAATAAATAAATAAATAAAAAATTAGTTAATTCTAAATTGAAAATTTTAATAGGAGAACACCGTGGTCCAACCGGCCAAAAGCCATAAAAAAATCTATATAAATGACAATATCCAATGCCGAACACTGAACGAAATAATTTTAAGATAATAAATAAGAAATAGCAATGGACCCAATACTGAGCCTTGTGGGATCCCAGAGAAAATGTTAATTTCAAACGATTTGATGCAACAAGATTCTACAATCAATTTTTTCCGAGTCAGGAATGTGGTAAAGAAAATTAACAAATTATTTAGTTTATTCTAAACTGGAAAGTTTAACAGTAGAACACTGTGATCCAACCAGTCAAAATCTGTATAAATGACAATATATGTACGAAATAAGATAATATCATTGATAAAGATAAGAAATAGCAATGGACCTAATACTGAGCCTTGCGGGAAAATTAAATTAATTAATTTATTTTAAATTGGAAAATTTTAACAGTAGAAGGTCGTGGTCCAATCGGTTAAAAGTCTTAGAAAAATCTGTATAAATGATTTTATCCTGATCACCATTGTCTAAATGATCTGCAGATTGGACTTTTTTTTAAAGATTTACCATCTTGGGTGAATATGTTTAAATATTTATCCTATAATTTGTAACGAATTGGCAACAGCGCATCTAGATTTAAGGTTAGTTTAACAATCCCTAGAATAATAGTCAGACAAAGGTGCAATTAACCCATTTTAAAATATAATGCTAAAACTGATGCCTTTCGTTTTGGACATCATACGCTCTAGTCACTTTTAATAGGTACATGCATTTCAATAACACCCTGTATAGAAAAGTTACAAAATATCGAATTCCTTTTTAAGACTATATTTTTATACCATTTATAAAAAAAATGTAGGAGAAAAACTCTGCTCATAAGATTGTTAAAAGTCAAAAAGTGAAAAGGAGTAAATTATTTTAAATTTCTCCCATTGACGCTTTAAAATAAAAGTAAAGAGGCATATTATGACGAATCTAAAAACCAGATAGATAAATAAATATACAGGAGCGCTCGAAGAAACGTTATTTACCTTTCGCCTAAAAGGAAAACAGCCTTCATTTTCACTAACAGCCACAGGCTGCAGAATCAAGTCCGGCGTCCGTGTATTCGCCGGTCCGAACACGTTCAATTGCCGAAAACAATCCGTTTCGATCATCTCAGTCTGCCACGGTATCGAAACACAACCCGTATTGAATTTATTATAAAAACTAGCATCACTTTCGTCTATATTTACACCTTTAACTGTCGAAAATTGTTCTATATCTAACACGTCCTTTGCGTACACTGCATGAGGCTGAAAATAAAAAAAATAGTTACAAATCGGTAATAAGTAATAATTATTTACGTACTCAAGTTTTTTCCAATCATTAGGTAATGAATCGATAATAAAACTATTTTTAGACCTTCAAAGATATAAATCTTTATTGGCTATAAATATGTATAATATCGAATTAAAGCTTTGACCTAAATTTTTAAGTATGTCAAATTAAAACTAAAAATGAAATTATTGAACATTTTAATATATTTTCTCAGATTATAATTGAAGATTTTGGTGCAAGAAGATAATTCAATATTTTTTTGAAAATTTGATATGTGTTGCAGACGGCTTATGGGGAGGTTCACAGTGACAGAATATAGGTATCAGTACAGATGTATGAAAAAAATTTTCAGTGATTTAGAAAGTTTATAATATACCTTTCTAAAACACTGACAGATTTTTACTTATATCTGTACCGGGATCTAGGTATATACTGCTACTGTGAACCCCCAAAATGTTGGTCACTAGCCGCCCCTGATTGCAGGAGCTTCTACAATGCATATACGCTATTAATGAACACTTTTGACTTGTCCTTTTCGCGTATTTGATTCAAGAACAAACAAGATAAGTCATATGTGATAAGCTTTGCATCAAACGAACTGTCATTGTTCAATTTTTTTTAATTGACACTAAATTGATGACTTATCCCATTTTTGCATCAAATAAACATTTTTGCAAATTTTTCACGTTTTTTATTAGTCTTATTTTTATAAAAAAACTAAGATGTACTCTATAAAAATTAAAACGATCTTTTTGTTTTGCTTCTCCTAAACATTTTTAAAAAGTGACTTATCCCCTTCTTGCACCAGGGTCTTCAATTGTAACATTTAAGATAAGATAAAATTGAATTTTTAAAAAAAAATTTCTATATTCTTTAAGTGGCTTTTCTTGCAATCACTTTTTACCATTGCGTTCCTAATTTTCTTAAGGTATACTAAATGAATTCTGTGCCAAGTTTTTCTGTTCTCAACTTCTCTCTTCATGATACCATGAGGATCATCTCATCTATTTACCAGCAGTGCAAAAATATAAAATCAAACGAAAAGAATACTAAATCCTGCAATACATTAAAATATTTATATACAGGGTGTCCCATTAGTTCAATATTTCAACACGCAAACAACTTTTGAATAAAAGTTATATGGATTTGAAAGACATTTTTTAAAAATTATTTTTGAATATACAGGCAAATAAAGATGTACATTTTTTAAATGTATTTCATTTCAATTTTAGAATGGTCTCGTAATACTGTATTCAACCCTAGAATGGTTTTAAAAAATATTACAGGGTTGCCGAGCATTTAATTTTTTTGTGGAACTAGAGAATGATGCTGCGCCCAAATTAATTTTCATAATTTAGGTAAATTAGCAATGATTTTAAATTTGTTTAAAATACAGACTTATATGATATCAAGCTAACGAATAGTTTATTTTAGAGAACAGGTTTATTTTATATAAAGTGTCTTGAAACATGTCTTAAATATGGCTAATTTTAAGTTCAATTTACACAATTTTTCCCAATACAACACTCTGTATATTATTTTAGCATTAAATTCCTTATAAATTTACCTATCCAACGATACCAACATGTTAGCCAATAACGCATATACAGAGTGTCCCATCAGTGAATAATTGATCGATAGCCGTTTTATAATTGGAAATACGAAGAAATTTTTAATATAAAAGTTGTATGACCATATTTAACAATTATTCTTAAATATACATATGCATATTAGAAGAATGTAAACTAAATGAAAACATTTGAGGAAAATATAGAATTAAATAAAGAATAAATAAATATAGAAGCAAATGAAGTTTAAATGAATATAGAAATTGAAGAAATAAATGTAGAAGAAGAGGTAAAACTAGAAATTAGATAAAAATAAGCAATAAAAAAGACAGATTCATATTGTAGGAAAAGAAGTAAATATGAATTAAAAATAGTGAAAGAAAAAGAAACATTGAAGAATTAAAGATTACAAAGTGATGTAGAGTTTGAACTTGCGAATCCAAGAGTCCTCGATTGGAATCCTGGCCGGGATTTTTTTATTAAATTTATTTATTTAAAAATAATTCTGATGCCTATGTAGGATTCCCAATCCAACCATTTATTTTAAAGTCACGCAGGGAGACAGTAACAAAGTCTACATTGAACACGCATTAATAACATAAATCAATCACAAAATGAGACTGTCTAATTTGGTAGTTGCGCCACAAAGCCATTAAAAAAAAATAATTAAAGGAAACAGAAAACACATTCAAGAGGAGAATAGTAAACAAGCTAGAGGAGAAAAGAAAACACATAGGATCAGGAAGAAGATACATAAAGGGATTATAACAAAAATAAAAAAACAAACATGAGGATGAAATAAATGAGATAATAAATAAAAATAAAAGTGATATTAAAATAAAATCAAAACAAATACAGGAGTATGAAATGAAAAGTAAAACAGAAAATAAAAATAAAATGGGAAGTTCAAGAAAGATACAAAAGGAGTAATGCCGCGTTTGAATATCCACATCGGATGCATCTGAGATGTAGTAAATCTTTGATCAAGTGATTCAGTATACGTAAATGTAGTGGGACAGATGTGTCCGATGTGGATAAACAAACGCTCGAGATGTAAAAAATGCATCGGATGTGGATTTTGAAACGCGGCATAAGTATGACAATTTAGATTAGATAGGGAATAATGTGGGAAAATAATTAAAAATCGAAGGTTGACAGAAAAGGAAAGCGTTAGGACAAAGGTGAAAGAAAAACATTTAGATGCAGGACGGATATTTTGAATTTTGGAACTAGCTAAGAAAATGAAAATTAAAAAGCTAAAATGAATAAAACAGAATTAGATAGATCATTGTCAAGTGTGGACGTTTGACATACTGTATAAAAGAGAAAATAAAGAGGAAATTTAAAATATAAGTTTTGTAGAAGTATGAATGTGAAATGTGTATAACAAATAAGTTAATAGTGATGTTAATAGTTATAATAGTTATAAATGGTTGGGAAGTATTATGAGAAGTTAAGAGAATATTGTTGAATGAATAGAAAAAAATTGAAAAGACCAACAATTAAATGGAGAAAATATGACCAATCGAGGGAGTTTTAATTATTTTAGGAATATGTTGAGTGAACAATGAATTTGGGGAATTTGATATGGAAATTACTCGAAATCATCGAAATTGTCAAAATTAAACTATGCTGGGATAGGAAGTTTTGAAAATCAAAATTGTAAAAAATCAGGATGTCGGGGTTTTGTTATTGGGTTGTTGATTTGAGAATTATCAGAACGTTTTATTTGTTTGTAAGAAAAGAGTTGAATGAAAGTTATTGTAATTTAGAATTTGTTTTTAAAAAAGTATAGGGTTGATCAGCCCCTCGTTTATGGATCACCCTGTATATTGTCATACAACTTTTATATTAATTTTTTTTTCGTATTGCCAATAATAAAATAGCTATCGATCAATTACGCATTGATGGGACATTCTGTATATATGTTATTGACTAACAAGGAATTTTATGTTAAAATAATTTACAGGGTGTTGCATTTGAAAAAATTGAATATATTGAACTTAAAATTAGCCGTATTTGAGATATGTTTTAAAACACTCTGTATAAAATAGACCAGTTCTATCACCACTATCCTATAAATCTGTATTTTGAACAATTATGAAATCATTGTAAATCTACAGAAAACATGATAATTTAATTTGGGGTCTTCATCATTCTCTAAATTCATAAAAAAATTAATTGCTTGGAATACAGTATTACCAAACCACTCTAAAACTGAAATAAAATACAGTGTGTTCTATTTCAAAAATATACATTTTTATTTAGCAGGCAAAAACGCAACACCCTGTATATCCAAAAATATTTTTAACACATGAGTTTTTCAAATCCATATAACTTTTACTTGAAACTTGTTTGCTTGTCTATAACACAAATTGAAATATTGAAAAATTACGCACTAATGGGACACGCTGTATACAGTATGTCCCCCTAAGTTGGAATCATATGGAAAACTTTTTTATTATTAATTTTAGAAAAAAAAGTTATTCTTCATAAAAAGTTCTGCATTATCTAAAACCTAGAATACAGTCATCAAACATCAAATTTTTTCAGTGGTACAAGAGGTTTGTTAAAAAATATGAGTTTTACTTAAGAGTAAAGTTACCTTTATTCTTTATACGACTGATACAATTTTATATCTGATGGTTGTATTTTAGGTTTTAGACCATGCTCGACTTTTTATAAAGAATAACTTTTTTCCCAATATTAATAATAAAAAGATTTTCATATGCCACCAATTTACGTAGACAGTTGGTGGCATAGGAAAGCTTTTTTATTACTAATTTTAAGAAAAAAGTTGTTCTTTATAATAAGTCGAGCATGGTCTAAAACCTAAAATACAACCATCAAATATCAAATTTTATCAGTCGTATAAAGAATAAAGGTACTTTACTCTTGAGTAAAACTCATATTTTTTGACAAACCTCGTATACCACTGAAAAAATTTGATATTTGATGACTGTATTCTAGGTTTTAGATAATGCAGAACTTTTTGTGAAGAATAACTTTTTTCCTAAAATTAATAATAAAAAAGTTTTCCATATGATTCAAACTTAGGGGGACATACTGTATACACAGATCCAGCCTTTTTAAATTATGTATTGTATAAGTGACACTCTGTACAAAAGGTTTTTTCAGACTTCATTTTCGTTTTGTATAGCTTGATTTAAAATATAGTTTCACTTTTTCACTTATGTAAGAAACGACCAAAAGTTTGCATCACATAATGGCATACAAATCAAAATACTAAAGAACTTTTTTGTAAATAAGATTAATCTGAAAAGAAGAAAAATTAAGCTTAACTAAGCATACTTTGACAAAACTTACATCTGGCACGAACGGTGGATCGATCATTCCCGCCTCCAGCCTCCTCCAATTAATATGGGGCTGGAAAAAAGCGTGTTGTTTAACTACACTGGCCCCCGATCTACCCGCCTTGCCGCCTAACCTACTCAGTGGCGCTTTCGCTAACAGTTGTTGGCACAGAGATTTGGCATCCTCGCTAAACTTGTTTGAGTATTTTTCCTGTTCACTCTTCACTCGCCTGTCCACTTCTTCCCGTTTCACCTTCTCCTTTCGGGCTCGAAACGGCGCCTGGCCCTCGATCATTTCGTACAGCAGGCAGCCGAAACTGAACCAGTCCGGACTAAACGTGTAACGTTCGTTATCTATAACCTCCGGAGCTGGATGGAGCAAATAAACAAACATTTTATTTAAATTGTGTGTCGAAGTAAAGAAATTTAAATAATTTTATAATAATAATAATAATAATAATAATAATAATAATAATAATAATAATAATAATAATAATAATAATAATAATAATAATAATAATAATAATAATAATAATAATAATAATAATAATAATAATAATAATAATAATAATAATAATAATAATAATAATAATAATAATAATAATAATAATAATAATAATAATAATAATAATAATAATAATAATAATAATAATAATAATAATAATAATAATAATAATAATAATAATAATAATAATAATAATAATAATAATAATAATAATAATAATAATAATAATAATAATAATAATAATAATAATAATAATAATAATAATAATAATAATAATAATATAATAATAATAATAATAATAATAATAATAATAATAATAATAATAATAATAATAATAATAATAATAATAATAATAATAATAATAATAAATAATAATAATAATAATAATAATAATAATAATAATAATAATAATAATAATAATAATAATAATAATAATAATAATAATAATAATAATAATAATAATAATAATAATAATAATAATAATAATAATAATAATAATAATAATAATAATAATAATAATAATAATAATAATAATAATAATAATAATAATAATAATAATAATAATAATAATAATAATAATAATAATAATAATAATAATAATAATAATAATAATAATAATAATAATAATAATAATAATAATAATAATAATAATAATATAATAATAATAATAATAATAATAATAATAATAATAATAATAATAATAATAATAATAATAATAATAATAATAATAATAATAATAATAATAATAATAATAATAATAATAATAATAATAATAATAATAATAATAATAATAATAATAATAATAATAATAATAATAATAATAATAATAATAATAATAATAATAATAATAATAATAATAATAATAATAATAATAATAATAATAATAATAATAATAATAATAATAATAATAATAATAATAATAATAATAATAATAATAATAATAATAATAATAATAATAATAATAATAATAATAATAATAATAATAATAATAATAATAATAATAATAATAATAATAATAATAATAATAATAATAATAATAATAATAATAATAATAATAATAATAATAATAATAATAATAATAATAATAATAATAATAATAATAATAATAATAATAATAATAATAATAATAATAATAATAATAATAATAATAATAATAATAATAATAATAATAATAATAATAATAATAATAATAATAATAATAATAATAATAATAATAATAATAATAATAATAATAATAATAATAATAATAATAATAATAATAATAATAATAATAATAATAATAATAATAATAATAATAATAATAATAATAATAATAATAATAATAATAATAATAATAATAATAATAATAATAATAATAATAATAATAATAATAATAATAATAATAATAATAATAATAATAATAATAATAATAATAATAATAATAATAATAATAATAATAATAATAATAATAATAATAATAATAATAATAATAATAATAATAATAATAATAATAATAATAATAATAATAATAATAATAATAATAATAATAATAATAATAATAATAATAATAATAATAATAATAATAATAATAATAATAATAATAATAATAATAATAATAATAATAATAATAATAATAATAATAATAATAATAATAATAATAATAATAATAATAATAATAATAATAATAATAATAATAATAATAATAATAATAATAATAATAATAATAATAATAATAATAATAATAATAATAATAATAATAATAATAATAATAATAATAATAATAATAATAATAATAATAATAATAATAATAAATAATAATAATAATAATAATAATAATAATAATAATAATAATAATAATAATAATAATAATAATAATAATAATAATAATAATAATAATAATAATAATAATAATAATAATAATAATAATAATAATAATAATAATAATAATAATAATAATAATAATAATAATAATAATAATAATAATAATAATAATAATAATAATAATAATAATAATAATAATAATAATAATAATAATAATAATAATAATAATAATAATAATAATAATAATAATAATAATAATAATAATAATAATAATAATAATAATAATAATAATAATAATAATAATAATAATAATAATAATAATAATAATAATAATAATAATAATAATAATAATAATAATAATAATAATAATAATAATATAATAATAATAATAATAATAATAATAATAATAATAATAATAATAATAATAATAATAATAATAATAATAATAATAATAATAATAATAATAATAATAATAATAATAATAATAATAATAATAATAATAATAATAATAATAATAATAATAATAATAATAATAATAATAATAATAATAATAATAATAATAATAATAATAATAATAATAATAATAATAATAATAATAATAATAATAATAATAATAATAATAATAATAATAATAATAATAATAATAATAATAATAATAATAATAATAATAATAATAATAATAATAATAATAATAATAATAATAATAATAATAATAATAATAATAATAATAATAATAATAATAATAATAATAATAATAATAATAATAATAATAATAATAATAATAATAATAATAATAATAATAATAATAATAATAATAATAATAATAATAATAATAATAATAATAATAATAATAATAATAATAATAATAATAATAATAATAATAATAATAATAATAATAATAATAATAATAATAATAATAATAATAATAATAATAATAATAATAATAATAATAATAATAATAATAATAATAATAATAATAATAATAATAATAATAATAATAATAATAATAATAATAATAATAATAATAATAATAATAATAATAATAATAATAATAATAATAATAATAATAATAATAATAATAATAATAATAATAATAATAATAATAATAATAATAATAATAATAATAATAATAATAATAATAATAATAATAATAATAATAATAATAATAATAATAATAATAATAATAATAATAATAATAATAATAATAATAATAATAATAATAATAATAATAATAATAATAATAATAATAATAATAATAATAATAATAATAATAATAATAATAATAATAATAATAATAATAATAATAATAATAATAATAATAATAATAATAATAATAATAATAATAATAATAATAATAATAATAATAATAATAATAATAATAATAATAATAATAATAATAATAATAATAATAATAATAATAATAATAATAATAATAATAATAATAATAATAATAATAATAATAATAATAATAATAATAATAATAATAATAATAATAATAATAATAATAATAATAATAATAATAATAAGGCCTGGTACTTTCACCTATAGATAGATAATATTGAAATATCTTCCAGATAACATTTCTATCGTGGGTAGGCAATGGAGTATAAGTCAAAAATTTAGAAGCCGAGTAAATCTATGTAATATGTTGTGACGAAGTCACTAATTTTATTTTTATTTAATTTAAAAAAATGTATATTTCAATTAATTCCCGCCTGAGGACATGTAGAAGATCCCCCGTATTTCTGATTCCCAGGAATTAACCGTTTTTCAACAATTGCGAGTACCCTCGTAGGTTAAAATATTCCTATATTTGCCGAAATCCGAATGGGCATTTTGGTGAATCGATTTCGTACCAATTATCTACTTTTATTTGTCAAGGTACTAGAAGAACATTTTTTTTTATTTTTAAAGTCGGCTGTAGTGGTGGTATCTCCACTCGGGCTTACCGGTCTTCAATCTTGCCCAGCGAAAAAGCATAAATTATTTTTTTTTATTTGCAATTAGTTTAGGACACCCGTCCGACAAGTGAAAAATTTTTGATTTATACCCAGGATATTTTATTTCATCCCTTAATGGGAAACCGTTCGCAATCTCTTTTAAGAAGCGCCCAGTGTTTTTCATTTCATGTAAGTTTCTTTTCTTTTATTTATTCATTCAATTGTATTTGAATCATTCCGTTCCCCGTCCACAACTAATTATTGAACGAAGCCCGACGTTTTCTGTAAAATTAATTCACAAACCGTCTTCATCGACTTTGAGCAAATCTCAAAATAATCTTTTCTATCACCATCGCCTTCGCTGTCCAAACACCGCGTAAATTCATATCATTCTCACTCGCCGAAAATTGCCACTGCCGATCGCTCGAGACCAGGATACAAGGGGGTTCCGAAAACTTTGTTCCATTCTATAGTAGGTTTTCCTTTTCTGAACTTACATTGTAGGTGGGTTAACTGTGGTAATAGTAAACTTCATTTTCCGTATACAGGGAGTGTCGTAACTATCCGTTTTCTTTTATTTTTATGAACTTCTCAGTTGGTCAACCGTTTGATTAAAAATTAATTACTCCGTTTTAATTAATTACCGTTTTTTTTGTTTTATTATTTTGACCACAACATTTAATTTAATATACCTGTATTTGGGAAAACATACCTTCCATATTGTTAGATTTTTAATAAATTCGATTGTCGATCAATGTCAGGCAGTGATTGCCGCGGTGATATCGTTCCTTTTGGATCAGGTACCGCTTATTTGGCGCACATGCGTGAGCGACCGAATGATTATAAAAGCGCCAAATTCAAATATTATAAATATAATCTAACAATATTATACCGGGTAGTACATAATCTCCGATTTAAATATTTTCCCGTACTAGTAAAAGGTAATACGAACTTTTAATTTCCTTAGTACCTGTCAGGGTAATAAAGTAAATTGGATTTAAATCCGGGGGCACTCGCACCCGTCATCCATTTTCGCGTAAACCAGGAAGTGATAGCGGTATTCGCTTGCTTCCCCCCGTCGATAATCAGAGCTGTTTCAGCCCCTAGTCTTTATAACAGCTCGTGGAAAGGGTTTCTCTCTTGTAAAAGCTATGGACTACTAGATGTCTACATAAGAGAGACTTTAAACCGATATTTAATTAGTTTTCAAGTATAATAATCCATTTTTAATAAATTTTCCGAATACAGGGAGCCGTTAATATTTAATTAGTTTTCATTGGTAATAATTTATTTTTAATAAATTTTCCCAATACAGGGAGCCATTAATATTTAATTAGTTTTCAAGTGTAATAATTTATTTTTAATAAATTTTCCGAATACAGGGAGCCGTTAATATTTAATTAGTTTTCATTGGTAATAATTTATTTTTAATAAATTTTCCCAATACAGGGACCCATTAATATTTAATTAGTTCTCAAGTGTAATAATTTATTTTTATAAGTGTTTTATTTTTATTTATTCTTGTATAGTGGCTACCTAGCAGTGACCGCCTGAAATTATTTTTACCTCCACTGAGTTTACCTTAAGTACACTCTGGAGTATACACTCTAGTGTACTCCAGGGTCGCAGAGCAAACTGCGATACCAAAACTGGCGCCTGAGCAACCCCTATTCGGGAATCACCATCATAGCGCCACACAGACTCGCTGATTCACTGTAGGTGAACCAGAAGCCTGTCACAATGTCTTATAAGTCGACTTATACTGATTTTCCACCAAAAAAAAGGTATTTTTGTAATTTATATTATGAAGTCCAAGTTTAATAGCGACCCTGATAGAAAGTATTGACTTATCCCACGTTTTACACTGGGGATAGATGACTGAAACTAATTGACCCAAAATTTTGACTTATACTCCTTTGCCCACACATGATAGATTTATTCTTCTGTAGGTGAAAATACCGGGTCTAAAGTAGACTTTTAACCTTCCCTAGCACGGCTGGTTTCGTTTGCTACTTATATAAAAATATCAACCTTATCAACAGTTGTTGTAATAAAAGCAGAGGATCCAAATAGACTATACTAAAATTCTAGCAATATTTACCCATATAGCCTACGGTTCCAACTCTACCTCTAACCGATTCACCTTCGGGAATATCTACTGCTAAGCCTAAGTCTGAGATCCTCACGTGACCAGCGTCATCTAGAAGTATATTTTCTGGTTTACAGTCTCTATATACAATGCCCTGCAAAAAATAATAAAACAAACATGTTTCAAATTAAGGATTACCGAACATGTTATAATATTTGTATTTGTGCAGCACATTCTGAAGTGATTTTTGTTGTATGAAACACAGAGATATGCATTTGGTGTTTATTGATAAGAAATTATGAACTGAAATTGCGTCCTATCTACATGTTAAGCATGTGGTAAGAAGGGAGTAAAGTGGATAGAAGCCAGTGGAGAGCTGTGATTAGTATCAGGAACGTTGAAGGTGAAAGTAGAGCATTGGACAATTAGCTCTTTCTGGACGATGTTCGAATCAGAATGTTGGGGAGTTGTTGAAGCAGCTGTTCAGGATGGGGTGATGAATGAGGTGAGTTTCAAAATGATGCAACGTTAAGAATAGATTTAGAAGCAGTTTGGAATTGTTAATAAAAGAAAATTTAAAGATGATGATGATGATATAATTACAAAAGCAATGCTTAAATATCTACGAAGAGTACTTAGAATATTCAAATATAAGTATATGATGACATTAAAAAAATCTACAAATATATTTCAACAATGAAATGAAAACTAGAAGCACAGCGTATATCATTACCTAAATTAGCAAAATTCAAAATCAGCACTTACTTGTTGGTGAAGATGGTCAAGTCCGCACACTACCTCAGCAGCGTAGAACCTGGCGCGAGTCAAATCCAATCCAGGATCTCCGCCCATGTTATAAATATGAAACTTGAGGTCGCCTCCGTTCATAATGGTCAAAACCAGACATAGAGCGTCTTTGGTTTCATAAGCGTATGCTAAACTTACAACGAATGGGGAATTGATTTTCTGAAGGATTTGCTTCTCGATCAGGACCATGGCTTCACCTTTTCGCTTTTTTATCCTTTTCTTTTCCAACTTTTTGCAAGCATACATTTTGCCAGTAGCCCGTACCTGTAACAAAAAAGACATTTTGTAAAACATACAATGTTGGTAATAATAATAATTATTGTAGTTTTAATAAAACAAAGCGATATTATTATTATATTACTGTTATTTTTAAATTGCTCTTTGCATCTATCATCTACCTATTAATTATTTCCAAAATAAATAAAACATTTTTTTGACAACCAAGAAGTTTTCATTAAAAAATGTAGTAGTAGATGAAAAAGTAGTAGTAATATACACCCTCGATGTCAAGCAAAGGCTGAGAATGAAAAAAAATGTATATATAGCTATGTAATTACAATTTTAAACTATTGCATAGCTTTTATCGCGGGCTTTGAGCGCGGCGACCGAATCAAGAAATTCCGTAACCTAACACCCCCCACTCCGACCGGCACAGCGGTGCGGCGTTGAATGCCGTGGAAGGTTTTATCCGAATCCGACCCTATTCGTATTAGTATGAAGCGGAGTTAAATATACGTCTGCGGACTGGAACGTTTATGCAATACAAGAACTAGAAGAGTTTTCTCTGGCTTCTAATAAATTGGTATCACAAATGTTCCCGACTGGCGTAAATATTAGATGTTTTGCAAGATTTATAAAATATTAATTTTAAGCTATTGCATAGCTTTTATCGCGGGCTTTGAGCGCGGTGACCGAATCAAGAAATTCCGTAACAAAAATAAACCTAACACCCCCCACTTCGACCGACACAGCGAAGCGGCGGAATAACCTACATGTATTGTAAGATACTAAAAATATTTTAAATAATATTAAGTTCTCATTTATTCAATAAAAGAAAATCGAAAAATCGAAAAATCAAAAAAAAATCGAAAAAATCGAAAAATCAAAAAAAAATCGAAAAAATCGAAAAAACGAAAAATCGAAAAATTTGAAAAATCGAAAATTCAAAAAATCGAAAATTTGAAAAATTTGAAAAATTTGAAAAATCGAAAAATTAAAAAATCGAAAAAATCGAATAAATCGTAAAATCGAAAAGGAAATTCCGTAACGAAAATAAACCTAACACCTCCCACTCCGATCGGCACAGCGGTACGGCGTTGAAAGCCGTGCATCGTCTAGCGTCGTTTCAGTTCGGCAGACTTCAGCACGGTGTTTGTGTGCGTGCGACTAGACGTATGTGTGTAGACTAGCTGCTAACTGCTCATAACTGATTCTCTCTTTTAGACACAATTTCGGAAAAATTGAATTTGAAAATGAATAATGATCCACAAGAATCCACAACAAAATATGGGACCACCATTGACGCGGTATTTTTCAGATATTTAGAGAATATCAAGTCTCAAACTTATGTTTCTTATTTCAGTTACCTATAGTTTCAATGATAAAAAATCTTGAATAATCTACATGTATTGTAAGATAATAAAAATATTTTAAACAATATTAACTTATCATTATTCAATAAAAAAACAAAAATTTTATCGGTCACCACGCTCAAAAAGTGTAACTTGAATTAATATCAAAGAAAAAACTTGAATTAATATCAAAGAAAAAAAAAATACTGCATAAATAAAATAAATAAATAAATAATTATAATTGCATAAGTTGATAAAAAATACTATGCAATAGCTTTACCGCGGCAGTCCCCGAGTGCCATACGTATTTTTTATATACATTTCCTTACTATATCTAATTAAAACAGAAAAAATTAAGGGGTGATTCTGTGATGAAAATTAAGGTACAAACCACTTATAGACCTTAAGGAATTAACTCATCTTTTTAAAAATGCAATGCATTTCTTTTTTTCTCGTTTTAAAAAAAAACTTGAAAAAAGTTAGTAAATGAATTGGGCTTTTCAGCCATATTTTATTAAAAAAAAATGTTTATCTAAAAAAAAGTTGTAACAAAAAATAACTTAGGGGTTATTTCAACAGCATACTTCAGGGTTGAATTGTAATTTCAAAAAGTGTAGTTTTATTGACAAAGAATATTTACCAAGTTTCGAGTCTTTAGCTTAATATACATGGAAAATAAAAAAGAAGAAATCTTCGGAGGGGTGTAACTTTTCCGAGATTTTTTTAAAAAAATTTTATACCAAATACCCACCTTAATTTTTATCACAGAATCACCCCTTTTGTAGATATTATTTAGATATTATCATTTAAAAGATTCAGGAAAACCGCAGAGTCGTTTGTTAAATGAGAATGATTATCAATAAAATTGTAATTCCGAAGATGAGTTAAGCATTTATTAATATCTAACCATACTTCAATTATGAATACATTTCATTTCAAAACTAGCCACCCAAAATAACTTTTAAAATATCTTTAAAACAAAAAAACAAAAAAACACGTTAATTTATATTTACGGGGGGACACATTTTACAAGTATCTGTAACCGTGCAGTTTCATCCCCTAAGGGTGGTGAATATCACTTCTAAAATTTTAAATAGAAAGTGGTATCATGTGATAGCTCTTCTTAAAGGTCTCTTTTTTTCCAATCTTTTGACACATTATTTTTTAAATCGGATTAATTTTTTACCAAGTTATAACCTAGAAACCGAAAAAAAAAAAAATAAAAATATTGAACTAAAATGCATGAGTATAAATACCGAGATAAACAAGTTAGCAAAAAGCCTTAAATGTTTTTTGCGTAAGATATTTTTGACCGTAAATTAAAACAATTTATTATTAGTAGATTATTGGTTTCGTTGTGTACTGACAATTTAATTTTGACAATGGTTTATTTTTTACAAGAAAGAATTGAAGTAATCTTTATTTATGGTGAAGAACAACGCTGTGCACGCAGAACTGCTCGTGTTTTTAATCAGAGACATCCCGATAAAAATGTTGGGCATCAGTATGTGTTGGATTTAGTTCATAAATTTCAAGAAACTGGAAGTGTGTGCAATAAAACTGCAAGGAATCGTAGAGTTTTAACTGAAGCTGCACAAGTTGAGATTTTAGGTCATTTTGCCATGGAACCTCAAACATCAATACCAAAAGTCTCCATATTAACAAATATTTCCGCTGGCTCTGTGCATAAAACGTTACGGCTAAATAAATTATTTCCTTACAAAATACAGCTTTTACAACAGCTTGCTGAGGATGATTATGACAGAAGATTAGAATTTTGCGATTTAATGACTCAAAGGGCAAATGAAGACCATAATTTTATTAAAAATATTTGTTTTACTGACGAGGCAGGTTTCTTTTTAAATGGATTTGTCAATAAACATAATTGTAGGTACTGGGAAAATACAAATCCACATGTTTTTCGGGAAGAGCACAGCCAATATCCTCAGAAAATCAACGTATGGGCCGGAATTCTTGGTAATAAAATTATTGGTCCTATTTTCATGGAGGAAAATTTAACTGGGGAATTGTATTTGAACTTATTAGAAAATCTGATAAATCCTCTTATAACCGAATCCTTAGAAAACCAAATATATCAAGATGGAAATTTGTTAGTAGACGAAGAAAACCTATTTTTTCAACAGGACGGAGCACCTCCACATTATGCCTTGCCTGTACGAAATTGGCTTAATGAGACATTTCCAGATAAATGGATCGGAAGAAGGGGCGCTATAGAATGACCAGCAAGATCACCCGACCTAACGCACCTTGACATTTTTTTATGGGGACATCTAAAAACTGTGGTGTATAAAACTCAACCTCGCGGTATTCCTGAACTTAGACGTAGAATAGTGGAGGAGTGTGAGCGGATTACACCAGAGACGCTTCAAAAAGTGCGGGATGAATTCGAGCTGGGACTTTACCATTGCCTTGCCAACAATGGCGGACATTTTGAACATCTTAAGTACAATGTAATTCTTACGCAAATAAAATATTAATAATGTAAATACAATGTAAATAATAATTATTTTAATTTAAAAGGTTAAAATGGCATAACTTGGTGAAAAATAAATCCGATTTAAAAAAATAATGTGTCAAAAGATTGTAAAAAAAGAGACCTTTAAGAAGAGCTATCACATGATACCCCTTTCTATTTAAAATTTTAGAAGTGATATTCACCACCGCTTAGGGGATGAAACTGCACGGTTACAGATGTAAAATGTGCCCCCTCGTAAATATGAATTAACGTGTTTTTTTGTTTTAAAGATATTTAAAAAGTTATTTTGGGTGGCTAGTTTTGAAATGAAATCCCTGTATATTCGAGTCACAGAATAGATAAACAATACAGAAAAGAAACATAGGGCTACACCCAAAACTCTAGCCACTGTAACCCACGCCTTATTGATGGTGGGTGGAGTATTGTCAATGTACAATAGAGATAAATATAGTTTTCGCAGTGTAGTTTAACTATTTGACACATACCTACAATAATTGTTACAAACTCATTTTTTGAAACTGACAAAAACATTTAATAACAATCGATTATGGAAACTTCACTGAATTCTTGTAAACCTATCTCTATTTATTTCTCTATCTCTGGCACTCAATAATATTAATAGTAGCAGTAATTTTGAAAACGGACGTAACGGCGCAATATTATGAACGTTATGTATGATTGATAAGAGTGATGGAAGGAATTAATTGACCCACCTCATATATTTAATAATTAACTAACGTTCAGTAACTCTCTGGTGATTTGATCGATTTTGTGATTGAATTTACCGGTGAGAATTACCCGATGACCCAATTATTTTGAAATATTGATCATGATTAACTTCCGAAATGATATCGGGATTATTGTTTTCCAATAGTCCAGTAATACCATCGAATTAAAGTGAGATACGAGTAGAATTAAAATTATCTTTTAGTTGGGTTTGGAGAACATTTTATATTGTCATTTTTAACATAGTTATCATTTTAGTCAGTTACCTACACTTTTCTATCTACAGAGTGTCACTATATTCGATCAACAAAGCTCTACTCCAAAGAGCTCTCGGTAGTTGATGCATTTAGATATAGGAACATGAACCCAAGGATCGATGGTCGCTGCAGAGACATGCTGCAGCTACAAGCGGCCGATACAAGATACAGTTCTAATGACATTAAATGACACGAGAAGCTAGTTGCTTGCGT